TTCGCCGTTTATTCCCCAGTCCTGTTTGCTCACAAACGTTGCGTTCAACTGTCCTGTCCAGGTGGCATTGAGTTGTTTGCCGACTTTGCGTCCGCCGTTCCCTTTCTTTGGCTGTCTGCAGTCTCGGGCCATGTGGCCTGGCTTGTCGCAGTTAAAACAGAGTCGTTCCTTGAATTGTCTGTCTTTCTTAGGGTCACGGGGTCGTCCAGGTTTGAACGTGGCATCGAGTTCCATTGGGTCCGACCAACGGTTGTCTCGCGGGTGTTGATCCCGTCGTCTGCCCTCGTTTCCCCGGTAGGGGTAACTTTTCTTGGGCTTGTCATAGGTCCGACGTTCCTTCTGGAATTCGTATAGTCGATTGTCGATTCGGACCGTATGTTAGATTAGCGCTACCATGTCCGTTGGTTGTTGTTCCAAACGGGCAAGTTCCATACGTATATGGCTCTTCAGCCCACGTCGGTAGTGGCTGATGAGTGCGCTGGCGTCCCATCCTGTCTGATTGCCGTATCTCTGGAATTCTGTGGAGTATGTGAGGGCGCTGCCAGTCTGCTTAAGTGCAAACAGATGGTCTTCTGCGGTCTTAATCTCATCGATGTCTACGAACATGCATCGGATTTCCTTACAGAATCCATTCCAGCTGCCAAACATAGTCTGCGTAGTTGTCATGCTTCCATTGGTACTTTCATATTTGAAATAGTCCTTGAGGAATGGTTCGATCCATCGCAGGGCTTCCCCCCTAAGGTAGGACGCAGTCCACAGGGCATAGCTCTCCTGGGTGGGAAACTTCTCGTCATTGAAGTGCTGGTACAGTTCGACCTGTAGCAAAAACACCTCAAGTTCCTTTCGGTTGCCGGAGTAAGTGTCGGGCAACTTGACGCGTAGAGTTTCCTTGAGTTCGTTGACGGTGGGTGCATCGGGCATCTCTTCATTCTCAGGCTTAGACCTCTGAGACGAAGTTGGCGTGGTGGGGGTTTTCCCCTTCGAACTGACGACAGACATGTTGCTTTGTGTGTAAGCCGGTACCTCGTAGAAGTGGTGCTCAAAGTGTAACGCTGACTTCTAAACGATAGAAGACACAGAGGTTCTCTTGCGTAAAGGTTTACTTATCAGAGGAGGCAGGGGATCAGACACAAAGGCTTCAAGTAACACGTTACTAGTATATAACAAATACTGTATTGAGTTGAGCACGAAGCTCCTATCTAAGGAAATACTATCTACTTATATAGTGGCGTCGTGCCTAGTGGACTCTTGGGAACTCACTCGAGTCCTTGGAGTCCTGGACTCTTAGGACTCTTCTCATCATCCTGCGAGTCCATCACGTGATACTTTCAGAACTACTATTCCCCGCTGCCCCTCCAGGTACCAGGGCCGGTCTCATGCGACCTCCCTCCTTCCTGTCCTGTAGTTGGCCAGCCTTCTTGTTCCGTCGTAACAGTAGCAGTCAGGTGAGTGTTGTACAATTATCACTTTGGAAGAGCTTGCTGTAAGCATCACGTGGTGGGTTATTAATCACAACAGGGTATTGTCATACTGACATTCGTTGCACTCAGTTTGCTATCAAACTCAAGAGCAAACTTAGAAATCTCCTCCTCGAACCTACAAGTCACTATACATATTTTGGCTTGTCACACCAACAACAAGAGCAATACTACTCAATGATTGCTACAACCCTCTATGATTCATTACACGTCATTGTTCCTTAGTTACTGGGCCGATATGACCACATAGCATATCTCTACAACCCTCTATGATTCATTACATGACATCACTCCTTAGTTACTGGGCTAATACTACACATGACATATCTCTATCAACTAGAGGCCTAGGAACATGAACGATAGCTCCAAAAGCTTCTACAACTGTCTGTGATTCATTACACGTCATCGCTCCTTAGTTACCCACAAGATTGGTTAAGTTATGACATAATTTGTCTATAGGGGTACTCTGACCTTGGACCTCCTTTTACTTCCTATAGGCTAGGAACCTAGGAGATGGTTCTATGGGATTCTCTTACGTCGACTACAGTTACCAAGCCTGGTTAAGTCATAGAAAGTCATAGAAAATGGGAGAACTACACTCCTTTAGCATAAATAGGATTGCCCTTTCCTTCAGAAAGGGCAAGCAGACAATACAGTAAATCGACTATCACATACTTCCACGTCTTTTCCAAGCTTCCAAGCATTCATCTTGTTACTCCTTGTTTCTGAAAAGTCAGTGAGGTGCTAACCTCTGACTTACCCCTGAGTTCTCAGAGTCAACATTTGTTACAACTTGTCTAAACCACTCCACTACATCATACACCTGATTGCTGCGTTGTGGAATAGTCTAAGCTACGACCCTTTGGCTCTTTTTCCTAAGACAGTGTGTTGTCTTAGTAAAATCATCCCTTCCTTGGGTGGCTAAATTCTCACATCTGGTGCACCCACCATTACAGATATAATTTCCATTACGGTCAAATTACAGGGTATAATTTTCATTTACCGATTAATTAATTGTTTGAGATATTTTATTATTTCATATGATGCCAAGGAATATTCGGCGGTGAGCTTGTGTAGGCGACTCGCTTGTGAACTACGTTATGTGATTGGCATTACTCGTGCGGCCCAAAAGTTTCCACAGGGTCTGTGCACAACAGCCAATTAGATTGTAGGAATCTATCAAGCACCATGTACTTGTACCCGAGTACACGCGTAGAAAATGTACACGCGTAGAATATGAGAGTGAATGAAGCAATGAAGTAATGCTCAACAATGGCTGAAATCTCAATACCACTACGTGCTGCAATTATTACCTTGCGTGTATACATGAACGCATCATATGGAGAGATTGAAAAGAAGCTTGGAATCTCAGCTGACTCTATTGCATATATATGGCACCAAACTGTTAAAAGGGCAGGGAATACTGAAATTCACAACCTTCTCCAACACCTCGAATCAAAGCCACGAAGCGGAAGACCACAGACAATTCAAAAGGATTCTGAAGAGTCACTACGCATACGATCTTTGCTACTTGCAAATCCATTTGACACTTTTCAACAAGTTATTAATAAGGAAAATCTACCCTACGCACGATCAATTGTCGAACGAGTTGCAAAGAATCACTCAAGTGTTGAAATTCCACAACCTATTGTACGGAAAAACATCTGCCTCAAGCCCTACTTGGATAATATCATTCCTTCAGTACGATGGAAATTCTGCAAATGGGCACTATCCGAACTTGAAGCTGGATCAATTTTTATTTTCTCAGACGAATCATATATCAATTTCGGAGGGAATCCACATAAGAAACGACGGATAACAGTTCAACGGGGTCAAACAGCAGAGAGCATGGCAATTCAACAGAAGAAATCTTTATTTCAAGTTATGTTTTGGGGAGCAATGAGTTCAGAAACCTCTATCTTACGCCCTTCTCGTTCATGGATTCCTGAAAGTATAGAAGAGAAGCAGATACATGTGCAGAAACTACGAGAGATAAATGCATATTGGAAATCAAAAGCAGAGAATGAACTTGTTAGAGCAACAACAGTTGGAACTCTTGAGTACGGATATATGGAAACTCTAAATGCAGATATTCGGAATGGCAAAAGCAAATGGAAAAAGGCACGAGTTGCTTCACAAGAGTTTGGAGATATAGAGACATGGAGTAGAGGACGGCAATCAGAAGGGCAAGAAGTTTCAAAGGGCGGGATTGATTGGTTTCTATATCGAGAGATGGTTCTTATTCCTCTTCTCTTCCCCTACTTTCGAAAAGTAAAGGCTTTACATCCTACAAAACGAGTATGGTTTGTGGATGATAATGTAAGTCTTCATTTGAAGGCTCACCGATCATTGGAAGATTATATGAAGAAGGAGGGAATCTATAGAGTGAAATTTTGGCCTCCAAACTCTCCCGATTTGCACCCTATTGAAAATGCCTTTGATTATCTCAAGGATCAGGTTGATGGCTATACACCATTAAACGGAGGGAAGTTTGAGAGAGCTCATGCACGGGTATTTCTTGAGGAAGAATGGGGGAAAAAAATGGATGGGAAATCTACACAATTATGTGCTTCGTTTAAGGACAAGTTGGAGCGGTGTATTGCAGTCAATGGGGGGAACAACTTTCGTGGGTAGATCAGTACAAGTACGTAGAGTATGTACATGCATTTTCTCCAAGTACTTACACGCCCCACTTATTACACACAGACCCTGTGGAAACTTTTGGGCCGCACGAGTAGTTGGGAGGAAAGTTGTTGTTGGTCTTCGACAGACTGCGGAGGTTGTTGTGCAGGGGATCGCCCTCTTGTTGCCACACCTGCGGGTGCTTGCTGCGAAGATGAAGATGTTACAAACCCTTGGCCTGCCTATGCTGCGGCGCGCACAAAGCTAGGGGCAGGACGAGTGGGTGGCTCTAGAATAGGAGGATCAATATTGTTCGGGTCAATATTGTTCGGGTCAATATTGTTCGGGTCAATATTGTTCGGGTCAATATTGTTCGGGTCAATATACCTCCATACTCCAGCTTTCATTGATGTTGTATTTATCGTGTCGATCCATCCATCCCAGTCTTTAGGATTGTATATATTAATCAATTTAGCGACTTAGAGTTGCTCCGGGCTCATAACTATTGAGTAAATTCGATGTATTCGATTCTTACTAACTATGAGGCTCCAAGCCGTAAGGGCAGAGTTTTTTCGCGGGTCTACGTGTGGTCGCTTACTTGTACTATCCCCCCCCTGAATGATTGTAACGACCCGCTAGTTTGAAGTTTGTGGAAACCCACTTATAGCGATCGGTTTAGGTAAAAAGGCGTAAATAAGATGAGATCACTGGCAGAGGCCTTTTGACAAATAGTGGATGGTGACAATCATTCAGGGGGCGGGATAGTAGCCCCTGTATATTACAACGCCCATCAATTACTCTCAACACGCCCAACAGCAACGCGTCACGTGCATACGCCTCAGGTGACAGGAGGAAATCCAATAACGCCACTGGCAAACCAACAACCAAAATCCAGTCACTTCAGCATCACAGCTACGCTGTTTCATATTTCAAATCATACCAACGAACCTCAAATCCCCAAACCACCCCACAGCTTGCCATGGGTTCCGTAGTACTCCCCCACCTACGCACCGGGTGGCATGTTGACCAAGCTATCATGAACGAGGACGAACGCCTTGTCGTCATCCGCTTTGGACGCGACTACTCTGAGGATTGCATGCGGCAAGATGAAGTGTTATTTAAGATTGCAGACCGAGTGAAGAACTTCGCTGTCGTCTATGGTCAGTCACTTCAACGCTATCGCACTCAATAAGATTTGCTAACGATATTACAGTTTGCGACTTGGGTAAATGTCTCCAGCTCGACATGCAGATATAATCTAACAGGTGTCTTTTTTAGAAGAAGTGCCCGACTTCAAGCAGATGTATGGTGAGTAACCCCTATGAGCTCTCGTCTTGTATACTTCCAGATCTGACAACTGCCCTACAGAGTTATACGACCCCATGACAATCATGTTTTTCTTCCGAAACAAACATATGATGTGCGATTTTGGGACCGGAAATAACAACAAACTCAACTGGGTGCTTGAGGATAAGCAAGAGCTCATCGACATCATAGAGACTATCTACCGGGGAGCCAAGAAGGGTCGAGGATTGGTGGTCAGCCCGAAAGACTACTCTACGCGGTACAGATACTAGGTGGCGAACAATCAGAGGCTTCATCTGTTTAATTCGATATGCGCTGGGATTTTCCGAGGATTCGCAGTATTCTGTTGAGGAAACGTCCATATCTCAGTTTAAGCTTCGACAAGACGGTCGCCGACAGAGGGTCATACAAATGTGGGAATACAGGTCATACGGTGCATGATGGAACAAGCACACGAAAAATCAACAGATACGGATGGATAGGACGGCGGTCACGAAATGGCGCCAGAAGCACCGCATCACGAGACTCGAGAGGTGGACATGGCAAATTCAAGGATGATGCGTAATAACTGTAAGGCCCCTCAATATCTTCTCGAGACTGGAAGAGGAACTCAACAATATTCAAGAAACGGCACTCTTTAGAATTTCAGGTTCTCGCTGTTTGATGGGGAATACAGGAAGATTAGCCTCGAAAATAGGTGTAAGATTCAAAGCTATTGGGTCTTGCAAAACAAAGTCATGCTTTCCTACATGCCGCAGGTTTGCCGTTTAACATGTGCCAATTCAAATATTCCAAATGCGCCGCTCCAACTTCGCTGCTCTATGAGACTTTTGAGAAATATGAATATGATTGTGGTCGTTGGCGCAAATAATCCACTTGAAAATGTCCAAACGGCGGGTAGGACCAAAGTTTGGGGCGTTTATGGCAACAGAGTCTCATCATGATATTTCCACATCAAACTATTAAAGTTACTCTACCAACACGAATTAGAAAAATGTCATACCCATCACCCATCATACAGGCAAGCTAGGCCTTCGCTCTCATTAAAGCCCACCACATCTCCTCCAGATTCCAATCCGGAAAACGCCCAATACTCATCACAGATTACCAAGGCCAGATCCACATCGTTCCAGCCAGCCATGCATTGGCTCTCAACAGATCTCTGTACCGCAATGTCTTGCCATTTTCAACCTTATAGGGCCAGCTGTGCATGCGATCCGAATCTATCACAACAGGGACACGAAAGTTTCGAACCCTACAATACCGGCTACTATTCAAATGCCCATCGATCGTATGGTGACGGCTCGGACTCACATTCGAATGCCAATCGATCCTACGGCGACGAGACCAACTTCCATTCGGATGCCTACCAATCCTTCGGCGACGACGCCAACTACCAAGCAAATGGCTATCACTCCTTCGGCGACGGCATCGGCTCCTATGGGTACCCGAGCTTTGGACAGGACTTTGACGGCAGTGCACAATCACCCTACTCATCGTATGGGCATTCTTATGGGTATCCTCACCAGTACGAGCCGTATGCGAGCCCGTACCTGGCACCCCCCAGACAATACTCGGAGCAATATAATTGCAGCTATCAAGACTTTGACGGTTACGGCGGCGGCTGCTGTACGGATGACATGTCATCTACTGGTTACTACATGCCGAGCTACTATGACTATCTCTGGCCGCCGGTGATGGTTGAAACCGTGGAAAACGTGGAGGAGTTCACAATGAAGCGGGAGACTAGGCCAATGGCCGGAACAAAGACTAGAGGACCACGGAGAGCGGGTGGAAGGCGTGGGAGGGAATATTATGGGTCGTATGGGATGGGTGGATGCGGCATGATGTAGTCTGAGGAGGCGTAATAGGCATGTCGCAAAGGCTGATTTTGAGAATGTGACCTACGGCGGAAGACGACAGCCATTGCTCGGGTAGTTGAATTAGAACAATGGGCATACGTACACGTAGATATCTGTACTATGGGGAATTTCTGGTGATAAATTCGTTGGCCTCAATACCGTATTTCTCAGATGATGTGTCACGTGCATTCGCGTTGGAAACGCGTAATTTAGAGTGCAAGCGGGATATCGTCGCGGGTTCAGGACAACTCCACTGCATTGTTTTATTTGCAAGCCGCAACGAACAACGGCAGCTTACGAAGCCATGAAATGGAAATACGTTCTTTAATATATCTTCATCGAAATTGATTGCCGTCGGGCAAAATCCTGCAAAGCTATGGCATCACTTGTCCAGCACACCCCCGCGGCGTCCACAGCAATACCCCTCACACAGAACACCGCGCCCGTGATTGAGTTTCGCTGCCTATTCACTTCAGATATCCGACGAAAACAGAAGCGCTGGCAAGATGGTCTCCTCAAGTTTCACACATTCAACAAACGGGTGATGGTGTATGACGAAAGACTGAACTTCGTGGGCGATACGCACTGGCACGACTACCATATTGATGAGGGCGAGGAGCTGGAGCTGGATCGGGCCGCGGTGCTGGTTCAAGTTGCCGATTGTTTGGGGAGTAGGGATCAAGATTTAACGGAGCTACTAGACCATCGCACAAAGCAGAGGGAAGAGAGGGCGGCAGTGAGAAGACCGAGTTCATCGCCAGCTGAGGTGCCATTTGACAACTTACGGATCGCAAGACAACCCACCGCCTACTCGAAACTATCGCAGAAACCGCTAAGCGCTCTACTCGGGACACCAACTGGCCACCATGGAAGAGCATTGCTTCCGACTACTTCGCCGTTTGAGGACAGGCAAAAAGAACAACGGCAAGAGAGAGACGCACAGGAACGGCCATCTAAGCGTAGGAAAGCTGAGTCTACGTATTCGAAGGCCGGCTATGCGCAGAATTTAACGGGAGCGATGCTCGACCTATCTTCGACGCCGCACAGTACTGCTCCTCTTCGGCGGGAACCGTTATGGTCCAAGACTTCGCGACGACAGGAGGGAGTTGAGAGTTCGAAAGAGGAATCCCATGAAGTGGACCTTCTTTTGAGGGGATTTCAGGAGCTGCCCAGACAGAAACGGAGACAATGGCAGCCGCTGGAAAAGAAGGCTAAGTCTGGCTTTGCCCAAACCTTGACCGGAGCTGTTTTAGACCTATCGTCAACTCAAAATACGAATGCTTTTCTGCGACATCATCTCCCATCCACGCGAAACATGGGGAGGGGTGCACCTTTGGAGAGCATCCCTGATAGAGGAAGGCATCAGCAGTCGAGAAACGAAACGGTCCGGCCAAATGTGTTGCAAACACCCGTCGTTGAAAAGCAAAGTACAAATCAAATGAAAGCTAAAAAGAGCGCGGGGTCTCTCAAAAAATCTCGAGCCGGAAATCCATCGGTTACTGGTCCCAAAGGGGGACAGACCACTCCTGGAGAAGTACAACAGCGAGATAGTGTTAGCGCCTCTGATGAGTTTCTGGTTATCGATGACGACTTCATCGACATTGACGACATAGAACAGGCCTGTCGTCCCCAGCATTCTTCAATAAGCAAGAGTAATGATGCCCGCGAAGGCGGCAGCGACTTGCATGCGATATCTATCTCTCCGTCTCCCCAAGTGCCTCCGCCAGAAGACTATAGGAGGCCAGTAACTATAGTACCTATCAAAGCTTCCGAGCCTGACCCGGACGTGGCGAATGGCCCGCCTGAGACAGTTGGCTCCATCCGTCTCAAATCCAGACCAAAAAGGAAGATGTTACTTTTAAACGATAGTAGACAGCCACAACCGTCTCCCGTCCAGGCCAGTCCCAGGCCCATTCCGCCAGCGGAAGATGTTGATCCAGAGCAGTCACAGGCAACGAAGAAGTTGGATGCATTCCATGCACAACAGAAGGAACAGCTGAGAGCACGGGCTGTGAAACGAAAAGCTGATGTTGAACAGGACGACGAGGGGGCATCTGCAGCTGATAATTCATCTGATAGAAATAGAGGTCTTGACGGTAAAGTTGTCGGCGCTTTGCCATCCAAGCCAGATATTTCCGTCCCTAAAGTCCCCAAAGAAACCCTATCCCGCCAACCACAGTCGGAACGAATAGTACGGCAAGATCACTCGACTGCGGTTAAAGAGCCTCCCCTTCTTCCAACCAAGGGTACTTCAGGTCGAATCTCACGTCGATCGCCGGAAACAGCACCTCAATCTTCGGAGCCTGCATTCAAACAGCTGAGAAATGTCGCTGATAAACTCGCATTGGCCCAGGGAGTAGCATTACAAACTACTTCCATTAAGCCATGTGTTCCAATCAGACGAGGGACGACGCCAGAAGTGAAAGCTCCCCAGACTAGGACAGCAGACGCGAAAGTTCCTCGGACCAGAACGAGTAACAGGAGACGGACAGAGGTCTCTCCAATTGCAACTACTACGTTAACAGCGACCACATCTTCGCCGAAGGATCTTCCCGTGGACGCTCCTCCCAAAAGATCCCAGATTACAAAACCCCAACTACTGATGACCAACAAAACAGCTCGTAGCAAGATAGTCGTGGGCTGGGTTGGTGCTCCCAAAGAGCCGGTTGTGATTCAAACCCTCCCAGTCCAGGTGCCACAGAGGCGTGAAGCAAGCGACGTCAGTTGGGGCGTGGCGCAGCATAGGGTTGCTGCACAGGACGTTGAAACGTCCCGGTTTGTCCCGGCGAAAGCGCAGCCACTGCAAGATATTTCATTGCGACGAAGACCACCGATTGCGTGCAAGAACGCGGGGAAGGTGGCGGAGAGCGGGGGTCCTCCAGTGCGCAGTGGTTCTGGACCTTGGAGTCGCGAGGCGTTTGATCTGTTTGATTGGAGACCTGGTGAGATTGGCTGAGACTATATGGACGGGCCTGGACTGCTGCACAGAGGCAGCTACAAATTACGATCATCACGATTTTGGGTCTGGAACACGAGACGGGCTTTAGCTTCTACATAATCATAATAAGCATTGCAGCCACACATGTCATTGATCCCTTTGTCAGGTTCCAGCTGGGAGGTCCAGGGCAGTGTCTTGTACTATATCCATGTCATACCGGTCAAGGCAGCTGGCGCTGGGATGCTGTTGCTGCTGGTGACCATGAACATACTTGTGAGGACAACTGGCTGGTGAATGATGACGGAGGATTTGCCATCCCACACATGGTGCAGAATCCGAAGGTCTAGAGCAGCGAAGTGTGGTCTATGTCGTTGCACGCCATGCTGACAAGGGAGTGTACTGTTCTCTGTGTTTATGTGAAGTCGAGGAATGAAGTATGCCCTGTACAGCTGACTGATTAATTAGCAGTCAGATTTAGCAGTTTTCACATTACAGTATGTGCACCTGATTATTATCCGGAGTTGTATATACCAGCGCGTTGTGATAAATACAAATTTGATACTGACACTGGGCTGAAGGGCGGGATGACGAGGTATTGTCAATCACCCGTCGCTGTTCCTACTGTACTGGGTAAAAGTTGGTTCGCGAGTACAGTACTCGCAGTCCCAGATTGCGAACCATCACAAACGCCCGACTACGCGGACCGCCGCCAAACCAAGTCGAACGCATCTGCCTCGACCCCCCTCAACTCTCATATTTCACTCCGAAAAAGCGGTGGCCGCGCATCTTTACACTGCACATACATATATCCATTCACCCAAAGGTAACCCAAACTCTCCTTCCTATATATATATCCATCTCCTTGCCTCTCTCACTCTCTCTTGTTCTCTCTCCCCCCGCCATCCTCGTCGTCTCTGAAGCCCCACTGAGCGAAAGTGCGACACAGCCTTCCCAAACCACCACACACTCCACTCTCGCAAGTCAAGAAATCTCTGCGACATCAGCTACCCGGCTTCATCTACAGCTCGCATGCCGAGTATCACTGTGCGACGTCTCGCCCGAAGAACACTGAACGTCGAATCCATCCATCCTCCAGCCGTGCCGATGGCTCAAGACGATACCCCGATGCGACTTTCCCTCTGACAAGTCACGAATCTATGAATGCGTCACAGATCTCCTAGAAGCATCACTTGAATCGATTTCTTCCACCTATTCTCCACTTCATATTTACATTTCGCCTGTCGGACTGGCACCCAGCACACTCGGCCCAGCACCGCCTCTACATCTGGCTGTCTTCCTGGCCCTCACCGAAAGACCAGACGTCCCACTTCCCACCCTCGCAGGTTCCACACGTCTCCGGATCCTCGAGCCTAACGAAACTGTTTGGTATAATATACATCTGTGGAAACACAACCGACGACATCATGTCGTATAGCTCGAGAATTGCCTCAGTCCCTCTGCCTCGTCCAAGGCCTTCAAATCTTCCTCACCGCCCAGGAACGAAGCGAATCGAACCTCACAAAGTCATAGGGGTCCGCGAAAAACTACGCAGCTATCGCATGGCTGTGAAACTACAAGACGTCGCCGTTCCAACCAACCTCGAATCCAGCTCTCCCTTCCAAGCATCCCACAGCTCCCAGGGATCGTTATCATCTGCGTCGCGATCGTTTCCGCCCCCTCTGAGCGAGGCATCGTACGCGACGAGCCACACTGATCTCACGGTTGTGTGGAGCCAGCAAGATGGGAATTACTTGTCGGAGCCAACGAAGAAGGCACTCGGCCCAGCAATGAAAGCCCAGAAGGCGCTGATTCGGTACCTGGAGAGTTGCTTGGGTGACTGCAGGAAGAGGAAAGTGAGGGTATGGATAATCCGTCAACTCGCTCTTGTCTTCGGTACAAACACTAATACACACATGCAGTGTTCATTGTCCCATCACGCCCTAGGGGATATCCTGGACGGAAGTCACGATGAACAAAACGAATCGGACGTCCAGTGGGCATTAGATTACGACTCTGAAGCAAAGGGGTCTGATCCCCTTTCTGGCTTTCATCTAATTGAAGATGCGATAAAGGAAGAGCAGAAGTCGTCTATCTTAGAGAACATCGATAATGCGGCAAACAAGCTTGATATTCACACGATACCAGATAGCATATACCCAAGCACAATCAACGAAGGTGACTTCGAGGACTCACTACTAGAACCGGAAGAGATCGCTCAATGCAGCCCTCTCCACCCCAGCAATCCATTTCAATCCTTCGATCCCCCGCCTATGTCACGGCGGCAATTCAGCACCCTCAAAACAGATCGAACATATCTTCTGGCGACAGAGATAGAAGTGTTGGGCCCCAGCGGGCCATATCACTACTACATGTGTCTTTGCAACCCAGCAAATTGCCAGGACACCTTCAGCTCGTCACAAGAGCTGCTTGATCATACACACCACTGTCACCCGGGCTTCCCGCCGATGGCCTTCGACCCGATGAGACTAGTGTGCCTGGAGTGTATGATATTCTGCGCTGAGAGGTCAAATTTTGGGACCTGTCCGAATCCGCAGTGTTTATCACAGCAGGAGCCGGTGGTGAATATCTATGGAGAGTTTTATCTGCCAGACGAAGTCTCCTGGATGGACGATGAGACGCCTTAATGGGGCCTATGGCGTACGGAACATATGGTTCCTCCTTTTGATTTATCTTTGATTTATGGCATTTGCAGGTTTCGCATGTTAGAAGGTTGAGATTTCACGCTATATGGATGATGGATGATGGATGATGAGTAATGGATAATGGATGATGCTTTGTTTTATATATTGGACGTGGAGGCATGGACTGGCTGGACCACGGGGTGAACAGGATACCTATTATGATATAGGAGGCGCCTCGAGGAGTTTTTGAACCCTTGGAATTGTGTTGAGATTTTTTTGAGACCCCGAGTCGAAGGAACGTGGAAAGCACCCCTATGCGGGAACGATTCTCATGATTCTGGAAGGATATCCTGCAAAGCGAATGCCCTCGATTGGACACTTGATATTTTTCACCTTGGTCGCCCTGGTAAGCCAAAGGCCAAAGTTTCTTGGGGACTCAACAGACAAACGGGTGCCCCTTATCCACAACGGCGCCCCACTTTGATTGGCCAATTCGCTCGCCACAACACAAGCTCTTCTCCATTGAGCCAACGGAGGCCCAGAAGTCGTGGATACTCGTGGATAACCAGGACATAATTACTAACTCACGGCAAAAAGTCTACATTATTGTCGGGCAAGCCATCATCTTCACTTCACACACGAGCATAACTATTTTGCGCGTCGCGCTCTCTTACAGTTCTTACAATCGCTTCATACTCCCTGTTATACCGCTATTCTCTACCTCAATGCCATCGCGGTTATTGTGCAACCATCTCACGCTCGCATGCAAGTAGATCTTCGTGTGACTTCCGTTGAGATCTCAGGCTTCGCACAGGCAGACCCGATCAATTGACCAACTCCTTCTAATCCGCAACTGTAAACGAACGCCGTCAGGCTTGCGATCCTCTCGAGAAACTTATATATCGACCGTTGTCCCTTGCATCCGTACCTCCGGAAACCTTACATCACAGTGCATAAGAGCTACCCACACAGCTAGAACCCACACCCAAACCTTCAACAACAACCACTCACCACAATGACTGCCACCACCACCACCCCGTCGCGCAAATTCGAGCTTCCCGTCCTCGCACCCCTCGACTCCCTGACAGCAGGCACCGACATCCCTCCTCCGCCGGACTCCCCCATCGCCAAGGCGCCCCCGCCACCCCCTAAAGCGCCCTCCGCCATCTCCACCACCTCAAAGCCAGAGGGCGAGCAATCGCGCGGCCGCGAGCCAGGTTCGCCCACAAATGGCCTCCTTACGCCCATGAGCATGACCTCTCCGCGCCGCCCAGGTAGCATCCGCCGTTTCCTGTCACGGCGCAGCCTCAATGGCTTCGTGCCGGATGAGGGTGCGCCGCCTGCGCGTCCGTTGAGCAGTCTTAGCATGGCACCGACAAGCGGACAGAAGCGCAGCGGGAGATGGTGGCGCCGTTTTGTGGGAGACAGAGAGGAGCGCGAGAGGAAACGCACCAGCGTTGTGTATGAGGACCGCAGGGAGAAGGACGAACCGGCTGCACCGAGCTTGCCGGAGATCAGCGCGCTGGGTGTTAAGAGTGGCGAGCAGGAGGGGTTGGATGGGGATATGTTCAAGAATATCAAATGAGGGGAGGGAGCGCTGGGTGTGTTGGTTGAGGAGGCAGTTAGCCTGAGCAGGCCATAATGGGAGATGGGAGATGGGTGGATTAAGGAGGAGGATTCGGTAAATTTGTGGTCTTATACCCTTTTGTTCGATGTGTCTAGTTTTGGGAATTGGATTGGCGCCCATTTGTTGCCGGGAATTGCATTTTTTTGTCAGGGCCTGACCAAAACAATACGCATGGTTAGGAAACTATATTCCCAGGATAGCTCCTGATGGGATATATATTTTGGTTAGATTATTCCCTGCAAAGATAGCCTTTCACTCTCTGCTTTATGGTCATAAAGTTTTTACACTACAATGCGCAAGTCTATCTTGCTCTGCATCAGCCCTCAAGTATCACCAAACACAAACACACCCTTCCCCTTCCTAAACCCCTGCAGCGTCCCCGTCACAGCCTCCTTCAACGTCTTTTCCTTGGTGTCCCAGTCCCACTGCACCTTCTGCACTGGCACATCGGCGAACATCCCCGCGCGGGTAAGCTCCAGAATCTCCCCCACCGTCCGGCGCTTTTCATCCAAGTTCTTCTCGCTCCAGCGGCTAACCCAGAACCCGCTGAACTTGACATCTTTGAATATCAGCGCCGCAGTTGGCACCTGCAGTGGCGCCTTTGCCATCCCGCCATATGTCACCAGGTGCCCACCATCACTCAGGCACTTCACCATCGCCGATGTCGGCTTGCCCCCGACGCAATTGAGGCCCAGCTTCACCTTCTGGCGTCCACCAACCGTCCACTCCTTGACCTGCTCTGAAAAGCCACGCGCCATCAGCTCCCCTTCTGTAACCACGTGCGTGGCCCCCAACCCTCTCAACTCGTTCCTCATCGCCTCCGTCTCCTCCTCCGTTCCGCGCTCACGGATAATATTAATGCTCTTCATCCCCCACAACCTCCCCAACTGTATCGCCGCCCGTCCAACCCCGCTATTCGCCCCATTTTGAATGAACCACTCCCCTTCTCCCACATTCTCAAAATCTTTCAACATCCTATATGCCGTGGTCGGGTTCACCCCCACCGTCCCGACCTGCACAGGCGTCAGACCCTCCTTCTCAACGCGCAGCAGAGCATCCTCCTGCGCCTCAACATGCGTCACCCACGTCCCAAGACACGGCGCGCGCGCAATCGCCCAGTCTCCCGGCGCAAACTCCTTCACCGCGGACCCGACGCGCATGACCTCGAAACATGCCTCGTTGCCAGCGATGGCGGAGGGAACGGCAGTTCCGAGGAGCGCCGTGAAGGGCGGGCGCGAGGGGTACACGCCCTGAATCTGGTTTATGTCCGCGGGGTTGATGGGGGCGGCGAGACTGCGGAGGAGGAGCGCGTTGGAGGGCAGGGAGGGGGAGATCGAATGCGTGTGCAGGCTTGGATGGGTTAGCTGGGCGCTAATTTGGTAGATGAAGGGGTGCGCACAAGAGAACATCGCAGGGCTCGCCGTTTTGGCTGTAGACGAGCGCTTTAGCTTGGGTGTATCCGTATGGTCCAGACTTGAAGCGCCGCGTGATGGGTTGGGACACGCGAGGTGTCAGTTGAGAAACCCGTGGGGTGGCATTTTGTGTGAGAGCACGAACACTGCTTGCAAAAGCTGGCCGGACGGATATAGGCGGCATTTTGTGTTGTCTGTGATTGTGATGGAAAGAAGCCCAATGTTTCTGGAGCACATCCGTCGTGGAATAATTTATGACGTCGGTATGGTGCACGGGCTCGGGCCGAGGATTGCAGGGTAGTTATCGGAGCTACGGCATCAATATCACAGCAAAGGGTAACTTAGTGGTTAGGGTTATGCTCAGAGAAACTATATAAAAAAGCTGGTGGAGGGCTTTAAATAGGCGTGTGCATTAAATTATAGGTATATCGTTATTTGCGTGATATTCAATATCAACCTCGATTACGGAGGGCAAAAATAGTTGGAAATTAATTTATAACAGAAGGCGAAGCATGAACGTGGAACAAGTCTCGGAATTGATCGCTGTCAGGTGGCTGTATTCGATGCTACCAGAGGTGATTCTTATGAAACTGCTAAAATGGCAATCCAGTGCCATAACCACCACAGAAAGTTCCCGTTCACCATGCCCATACCATTCCCGTTCTCCATTGCTATAAACCAAACAACGCCAACAACGCCTGATAATGCAACGACATATTTTTGTACATCCAGGTCAGCCGTGTCTCTCAGCCGCCTCCTTGAATGCAGCCTCTTGCATTGCCAGCAGCTGCTCGGTCGAGAGTCCACTCTGCTCAAGTTTATTCGCCTTCTTCTCGCGGCCCTAAATACTGTCAGCATTGTGCTCTGGGAAATTTGAGGCTCCTAGAACCCACCTTCAGTTGCTCCTTGTGATCATTCGCCACATCTAAAATGTCGGCCACATACTCGCTAAATCCAAGCTGTTCCAATGCCTTCGTGATGTGTTCGCATGCGATGGTCTTCTTGGCCTCTTTCTCTGAAATCTCGTTCGCCTCTGACGAGATGAGCGTGATGAATTCGACGCAGCATTCTATGAGAAGGTCGCGAGCATCTTTCCCAAATGCAACGCCTGATGAGGGCGGAAGAATTTCAGTTACGATTTTCTGGACGGTTGCTATGAACGAAAAGTTAGCCAACGTCCACCAGTAGTTCTATAAGAAAATTCCAACAATCATCTAAACCAGCGTTCAAAGCAGAAGTATGAAGCGTGTCGACCAGTCGAAGTGACGGAAAAGCATAGGATCCAAGTCCTGTGACTTCGAAATCAAGAAAGGTTCCTGTGCTCAGCCCAGTTGAGGCACAAGGCACGGTGTCTTCCAAGGTAGGTTCAACGTCTAAATTGCAGAGAGACTCGACGCAATCTTCCCCGGGGCATACGTGACACCATGACACTTGAAGTCTGCTTAGGGGCCGTGGTTTGGGGTCCTTTGATATGCTCCGTGGGGTTTTCTTTGGCTTTTTTTTTACACGCTGTCTCCCTCTTGTACCGAGATCTGCCCTTTCGTGGGGTTGGTGGCTTCGGTCTGAGGCAGGATCTCGTTGACCAGTATTGCCAGTCGCGTGTTGGTTTGGAGGCGCGCCATATTCACCGTATAATCGCACTCTCGACCCAAGCTGAGCCCGCAATATTCGCAATTATAAAGAAAGTATTATGCTATACCTTTGGGAAGAGAGAGATCATCGTTTCCTAAGACAGAGTCAGCATAGATCACACACAGAGGGTAGGAGCGATGGAGGGGCAACGCGCGAATGGAACGGCTCATCACCCGCGTCTCCGATTCCCCAGCGCCACCCCATGGCGCTATTTGACGTAAATAGGAGACGCGAGCGCAGTGCCACGCCGTTCGTCTGCTATGCATAGAATAGAATAAGCATACCTCCAAATTCTCTGTCCGACATTACGGCAGAGATGAGACTTTGTTCCCCACGTATCGACGCGAATCACCTTATTGTTCTTTCAACGATTTCTGAGGTGAAGTAAAAGACGTGTGAGCAATAAGATCAAAAATAAAGAAGATTGTAGAAGATATGAGTTCCTTCAGAGGTCGATCATGAGCTGTGAATAGAGAGAAATTAATTTAAGAGTCGTAGCCTCACGCGCGAACATAATGATGCGTCTCAGTCCCGCGAGGCTGCGGCTAGCACAACTGGTAAAGGCTTGGCGGAAGTTCCCGCTTTTTACGCGACAATCTTATTGATATTTTGTTCTTTTTCTCTTTTCCTTTCTCTTTCTCTTCTTCTTCTTCATCAATACAATCACCAGTTGCGCTCCCAAGCACTCACTTTTCCAAGCGTAATGGGTTCTCTTTGCAAGAATCTGTTTTACTATGACACCTTTCATTTCAAGCTAACATCAGGACACGAACTGTGGTTCAATGGCCATCACTGGTAAGCTCTTTCTCTCAAATACCCTACCTTTTACTCTGATGAAATTTCGTGTCGCCCCTATCTTACATGAGCTTCGGCTCTAGATGGTGATTAACCTGTCTTAACCAAACGGACCGTCTGAACGTACATCTATCTTACTTCGCTTCTTGATATGTGTTTCTGGATACATTTGCTAACTAGCCAAAAGATTATTAGGTTTTGAGTCGACTCTGTTAAATCCCATTCGAAAGACGGCATTAGCCAGTTTGCAAGTGCGCTGGCGCGGTATACCGTCCAGTTTCCATGCGGCCATGACGACAATACAAAAGTGCCTCATGTCAGGCTGAATCACTCCACCATAGTACAGCATCAAGGTAAATATTCAATATTTCATCGTTCTCTTTCGGCTTATGATGTAACATTCCATGCTAATGCTGAAGACATTCGTCTGATGCTGATAAACTTCGAGACTTTTCATCTTTCAACTGAAGCCCAACCCCCTATATATGTCTATTCTATTGCCACATCCTTGGAACCCGCTGACATATCAAAGTGATTTCTCTGTACAGTCTCCTCACTGCCTGTCCTGGAACTTGACAAGTTCAGGTGCATTCCAGCTACATACGTTAGCTCAGTCATAGCATAATAAATCAATTTTCCAGAGCAACTGCCTGTCTGAGAAACCATTGCCGTGACAAATGAATCTACGTACCTGAAAAACTTCCCGCCAAGCTCTTTCTCCGCGTCTACCGCCAGTCGCCCAAGCACATTCCCAGGCTGCTCCGGCCTTAGTAGACCCCCCTCCTCCTTAAGTCCCTTAAACCGTGCCACATCCCCCTGGTCCATCCCAGCCCCGTGGACTTCCCTAATCCCTCTCTGCATCTCCGTATCGACAACCCCTGGCCTCACCGCCACAGCAACAACGCCCTTGCTCCCCTCCTCTCTCGCCACCGTGCCAACAAGGTGATTCAGGGCTGCTTTCGTCGCGCCGTATGCACCCCATCCAGCGTACGAATTTGTAGCTGCGCCAGAAGAGACAACGATGATGCGGCCGCCCGACTCCCGCAACGACGGCAGGGCAGCCTGTATAAACGAGACGCAGCTGAAGACATTGGTGTCAAAGACGGCGCGCCAGGCAGAGGCAGTAGCATCGGCAATGCGAGCAACTGGCTCGAGGGTGCCATGGTTAAGAATGAGGCCGTCCAGTCGCGAGAACGAGCTGAGCGCGAGGGATACCGCCTTCTGGGGGACCTAAGCCGGGCAATGCCATGTCAGTTCTTGTGCGTTCCAACTTCGTTCCTAACTGGCGAGGCAAAGAACTCACCTCCTCCCCTGTTGCATCCCCAACAACGAACTCGACCTTTCCTGGGAATCCGCCCTTCAACTCCTCCAGTGGCCCCGCGGTACGCGCTACGACCACGAGCCGGTGTCCTTCTTGGAGTAAGAATTTCGCGGCAGCGAGGCCAATTCCGCGCGAGGCGCCCGTGAGGAGAATAACTTTGGAGATAGGCATGTTAAAATAGCTATAGGGACACCTGGTGATTGTGCTACAGTACAGATTTGTTTTTTAGTCAAAGATGTTGGTGGGGTGTGGGGGGGTAGACGAGGATTTCTTAGCCGAAAAACTGTTGAGGGAAAGAGAATGGGAGCTTTTCCCCAGTGCAATCGTCAGGCTCCCCGATTGGCGCTTGGCGTGAGCAGATTGCCTCAGAACTCCGGCGCATTGGATTTTAGGCCCAAACCCTTCTGTTACTCAGGGCATTTGGGTAGGCCCTCCGAAAAGACATAAATAATACGTAGGCTCCGTAGGTCGTGTAGTAATTCAATTGATCTATTCATTCTATATACTGTAGTGTATTGTCGAGTTTTCCTGCCCGTTGCGCAAAAGCCCAAAGGTCCGGTCACCAAACACACCGCACGATTTGCGCGCGGTCGCAATATTTCGGGCCTTCCATCAACAAAAACGTCATGATAACCCCACCTTCTCTTCGCGTCTAAAGACTATAGGAATCACATATAGCAACTTATAATCATAGGCACCATATATATATTGATAAAATCCCCCCAAAAAAACCCCCCGAGTCATCTTACTGAAATGGAAACAAACAGACAACGAGGCATCACCTCCAATACAGACACCCCATTCCAAACCAATCATTATGCCTGCTTGCCGCATGCTTGCTTCTGCGCATTGCAGTCCAACATTGTGGTCCCGGGCAGCTTCCCACCGTTCATCGCATCGGCGCACACGTTGAACTGGATGTTACATGAGCGCGCCACGGCCGTGGCTTTGTCCGTGAAGGTGTTACCCTTGACGCAGAAGGGTCGCTTGGAGTCACCACTGTGAAGCACCGGCGGCGCTGCTCCACCGAGATTACTCCGTACCGCCGTTGTTCATTGCGATGGCGGTGCTAGAGGTGACTGGGGCATTAGCAGCGGTAGTGGCAGCCTTATTGTTGTGGACTACTAACGAAGCTACCGCGTTGCCGTTACCATTCGTGTTACCATTGGTGTTCCCGCTTTGGTTCCCCTTTCCTCCACGGCTCTTGCCACCTTTGCCACCTTTGCCTGTAGCTGTGGTAGTCGTGGCAGCGGCGGCATCGGTTATAGTAGCGGCGTCAGCTGCGGAAGTTGTATCAGCGGCCCCACCATTGCCATTTGCGTTACCTCCTTGGTTTCCATTTCCTCCATTGCCTCCGGTGTTGGCATTGCCGCCGTTTCCACCTTGGTTTGCGTTGCTTCCATTGCCACCCGCCTTGACCTGGAACTTGGTGCAATCATCTTGAGCACCACGTTGGCTACAGGCATAAGTACAGGCTGATGGTTGGCGGATGAGCTCACAGTGCAGAGCCTGTAGAATCCCTCTGGAAGCCCATCGGTGACTACCGCAGAGAGAAAACCTTGGCCGTTTCCATTATTATTGATCCAGGAGATGGTCTCCACCAAGCAATGCCAATGCCCCATATGGTCGCATAACAGGTCCAAGCCGCAGCCACAGCCACTGTTGAGCGCCATGGCCACTACTGAATGGGCCCTGCGGGGCCAGTAGAGCAGGTCCGCAGACTGGATGCCAATATCTTAAGCTTTACTTAGGCCTGTAGCACATCAGGGGAACATGGTTCCCCGACATGGCCTGTTTGACGCCGTGCTTTTCCGCTGTCAGACTCCTTGTTGGGCTTTCCCCCCTGAGATATGACTGCTCTCAAGACCTCCGAGGGCCTATGTCGGGTCTTCTCTCCAAGGTCGCTTCAGTTCCCTTGGCTGAAGGCAACCATCGGTCATCCTTGAGCTACGAGCTCGCCGCCCTCCCCGGGTCCTTGTGCTACCCGTGCAGGGGCAACTTGTTTGACCATTCGGCTGATTTGTTCTATGAGGCACCCCGTATCTCCAGACGAATTAAAGCCAACATCAATATCACGTGAGTATTATGCGATGGTTCCCACGGTACACGGTCCCTTCTATACGTAAGAATGGCAATGCATCGTAATTCATACAGTTAATAAACTGGCTGCTATACTTTGCTATATAATGCGTACAATGCATTATAATTACCTCTTGGCGACAAATTCAGAAACGGGCCAGCCGAAGATGCAAGATTAGCGTGCAGAGGGGGCTTCGGCTTCCAAGATACCCTCTGAAACGAGCTATTCCACATGAATTATTTCTCGGATTATCATAAGGCGGTATGGACAACCCTCACTACCCCGTGGCTTTTAGTTTTAACACCCTAACGCCGACAGCAGAATAGGCGGACGGACCAGCTGACACTCGCCTATTCTCTCCAATCGAACATCACTGGATCATCACGTCTGTCAAACTCAAACCCGTCCGACCTGAGGAACAAGACAGGCACATCTGATGAACAAGCATCTCGGATGATGGGGTTGAATCAAGCCGGACGAGTGTCGCCGATCTGTATGAGCCGGGGGGACAGAAGGAGCGAAAGAGCGACATGAAGTCAAAGATTGGGCATTTGTAAATTATAATTTTGCATCTGTAAATAATTGTAGTATAGTACAGTACTAGATCCACGTTTTCTGGCAAGGGCCACGGAGGGCGCGCTTGTTAAATGAGTCTCGAAATTACAGTAAAATGCAAAAAGACATGGTGAATTACTGCGATTTATTGCAGATTCTGGGGATTATAAGTGATGAAGCTGTTCGAGATGAGATGCACTGTAGCACTGTAGCACTGAGTAGAATTTTTTTCATTGACGTGTCCGGGTCACATGAGTCCCTGTACCTGTCGCGGCGGAATGTGGGGAAGGGGAAGGGTCCAGTGTTGAACTCGCGTCCGTCGCGTCGCGTCATTATGGTTCGGGATGTAGTATGGAGGAAACAAATGCTACCAGAGGATATTGCCAAAAATGGGTATATATACGGAGCAAACGGGAAAACAAAGGCCTGAGGATATTGTAGAACATGAGACGACATTGCAAAACAGTGTATTTCCTTCTACGACATCCCACCAGTGTGCCCTCCATCTAGATATAGTAATTGTACAAACGCGGGTCTATGATATCCTCTCCGGTCCCATCTATCGCTTAACACTCCATGGAGAACTTGGGGGTGCGGTCAGCGTTCCATGCTCCCCAGTGCGTCTCGTCGGCAACCGATCCGTCCTGGCCAATGCTCTTTGGCTTCCATGGCTCATCGAAGGCCTCGAAGTAGAAGACGTTGACGCCCCACGCGGTGATGCCGCAGATGGCCTTCTTCCAATAGTTCTTGGCGCCCTCAAGGCTGGGAACAGCAGCTTGGTACTTGGATCCATCGGTGGGCCATCCTGTGTTTTGTTAGATATGTCGATGACTACAACGTAATCACTCACCAGTCTCGCCAACCCAGAGCTCAATGCCGCCATCAACCTTGCCAGAGACATGCTGGATGTGTCCGAATGCCTGCATGATGTCGTCAAAGAAGCTGGCAGTGGCGTTGCTATCGGTCTGTCCTTGCCAGTACGAGAAGCCGTTGGCGAGGAGGATATCGACACCACCGGTGATCAGGGCATCGGCAGTTCCGTCCTGGTATTTGTTCCAGCTGTCGGCGGTTCCGACCTTGAAGCCGGGGATGGCCTTTTTGATCTTGTTGATTCTCTGCAAGAGTTCTGGGCCAGTGAAGTTGCCGCGATAGAGCGTCTCGGATCCAACGGTGATGGCGTAGACCTGGTCCTTGTAGTCGGGAGTGTACTTGATGAGGGCAGCCTCATCCTTTGCCAGGGAATCGTCGTAATCGGGCCTGTATCGTTAGTTGGAATAGAAGCCCAGAGATCGTCAATAGCATACCAGACACCCAGGATGACCTTGAACCCAGCAGCCTTCGCGGCAGGGAGAATCTCCTTGGCAGTGTTGCACTCGGAAGCCGAGTAGGTGCGAACAATCTTGCTGCTCTTGACAGTGCTGATTGCCTTGAGGTCGGCTGCCCAGTCGGCTTGGAACTTGCAGCTGCCGTCGCTCTTCTTGTCACCGAGGGCGAAGCCCAGGCTGCCAGCGGCCGAGACGACGGCTGGAGCGGCGGCCAGGGCCAGAGGAATGATGGTGGAGAAACGCATTGTCAATTGAAATGAATGTGAGCTCAATCTGTGAGCAGAGTGAGTGTATTAAGGAGAGGCTCTTCACGCTGCGTAATGAGTGACAGCGATGGAGATGAAAGTGATGGTGTTGATTCTACAGCGATGCGAGGACGTCGTCTGTTCGCTAAGGGTCGAAAGGGGAAGTGGGTGGAGCTGCCTATTTTTAGATTTTGGTGAGGAACATGGAGCTGAGAGCTTCACGGGAGTGAACATCACGACAGTGTACGCATACACTGTACATGTAGTCCTATGTGGTATTGGATTGATTTTACATGCTCATAGAAATTTAATTGTGGTTGGCTGGTGCTTTGCTCCTGCCAATTTGAATCGATATTTACACTCAACGATGGTATATATATTGGCATTCAATCGTCTATACATTATATGCAGTTTAATTATCTACAGGGCATTACCCTCATGTTTCCACTGCACTTCCAGAGTCCCTGGCGTACATGCGAAATTGAACAAATATGTAGCCGTCCTCGACGATAGTACCCAAAGATCCGATCAACCATGGAAGGTTCGTCATGATGTACTCCCTCTCGAGAGAATGGAACAAGATGCTGACTCCGTATGTGATATTTCCCATTAGAGAGAGAACAAAAAACAGAAGAGACAAGCCTGCACGCGTTAGACACAAAAGACGACGAAGTGAGGGACGAGCTTACCTTCACACGACTTATCCCTGTAATTCTTGATAATTTGGGGGATTCGGGCCCTGAAACGTTAGTATAGTTGCATTCCGACTTCAAAGGCTGAACTCACCCAAGATAACACACAGCGCTGAGGTATCCCAAAACACTGGCTTCCACGGCCACATGTTCTTTGCTAGGTACGTCCCCAGGATGATTCAGCGTCGGCCTCCACACCCCAGACCGCCACGCAATGGCCCATCCTGCTGTTCCAACCAGGATGACCATGAGGATGCTCCAGGTATTCCGCTTCCACGAACTTCCACCTGCAGAGACATCGTCTTCCAGGATCTTCACTAGAGAATCACGTCTGGCCCCCGACGAGTGACTGAGATGAGTTGAACTACGACGACGGGCACCGGGGGCCCGTATCGATTCGTTGCTACGCTCTCGAGCAAGCAACGGAGCCTCTTCGGAGTCGAGTGATGTTGCCGCCTCATTGATTGCCTCTCTCCGGGCATTGAGGTGGTTGTAAAACAAACACTGACTGATGAGCACAAAGTCTGCAAAGCAAAAGTACACTGCAAGGGCAGTGACTGTTGGGACTAGGCCGGCCCATATTGCCCCTAATGTTGTTAACTTGGGATGAAACAGGATAGACATCACGGGGTCTGGTGCAACTACCGATCCAACGCCCGGAAGCAACGTACCAGCTAGATTCGTGACATCTCCGAGCAGCCAGACTGTCAGGAAAGCTAGCGAGATGCCACCTGAACTGCCGGTTGTGTAGTTGAGGATCAACTGTGGCACCTGTGTCCTGTATTAGTATCTCTTCCCAGGAGCGAGGTAAGATGAGCCCACCAGCAGGAAAATCCAAGTAGCCAAACTGATGCTGCCAAACACGCCGGACAAGGCCTCATTCCATGACAACGCCTTGGAGAGAGCAACAAGGGCAAAGACTGTCGTCGTCGTGGCCATTGCTGCCGGCGATGATGTCGTGATGAGTGCGTCGGTCGTTCTGCAATCTTGATGGCTTCGTTCTGCGATCTTGATAAGGCAGATAGTTACTTTATTGGCTGGTTAGGGAACGTGATTGTCACGAGGCACGACGCCGATTCTGCACCGTGCTTACATAAGCAATTATGAACGAAAGCGACGCATCTCTCTACTATGCGCGGGACGCGTTTTGTCTCCAAACTCGGGGGATAAGGGGAAGCAATAGACTTCTCAGGTACTGGTTGAGCGGGCTGTGCCATGATGACAGAGGACGGCCCACTCGGTTTACGGATGAGGTTCGCGGAAGGTCAGAAACAGGATATCTTGCGAGGCCAGTCCCGTGACCTTTTGCGACATGCGCAATCTGAACGAAATCCACAAGATAAGCGAGATGAGCAAACGCTAGAGCGCGCAAAAAGAAAGCTAGTCTCCGAATTAACACTAAGATAATTTTCGACTTGGATTGCGGAGACGGCGATGGCGGGTGGTTAGCTGGAATGAATTCTGTGTGATTATGCGCTTGCCCGCCCAACCGGGCTTAATCCAAAAAAGTCAAGCTCGTCTCGCGCGTCGCGTTCCTGGCAAACGCGACAATGAAAATATAACAAAAATGAAACCTAACAATTACACGAAAATTCTCTTAATATGGTTACGGAATTGTTTTCCTACCTAAAAATTGCGTGCCCAAGTGAGATGAAGATCATATATCACGTGGTTGCCTTTCGTGTGCAACTGACTGATAGAATTACTCGACAATCATTGCAGCGTGTAGGCAACATTTCGCCTGGCCACGTTTGAATTCCAGTTTCAAGTTTAAACTATCCAGCAAAAAAGAGTGTGAAATGCGTTTAGGACTACAGTTCTCAAGCGATAAGTCGATACTCGATTAGGCGATATTCACACTAACTCAATATTTTTTGTAGGATTCTTTATTTTCCCACCAAAACTACGATACACTCGATATCGAACTGATTTGACCAGATATCGTCTTATACTGACATTACATAGGCCAAGATGCCTCGAAATCAGCTGTTTACGATGACAATTGAGTAGCGTCGCACATGTCATACTGACATTCGTTGCACTCAGTTTGCTATCAAACTCAAGAGCAAACATAGAAATCTGATCCTCAAACCTACAAGTCACCATACATATCTTGGCTTAACGGTGTCTGACCGTTAGAACCTTGATCGGAGACATCCATTGGATGCCTAGATAGATGGTCTCGCACAAGTACTATATGGCCTTCACAAGCAGCGTTATGGAGTGCGGAAGGAGCCAGCTCCGCCCCAAGCCTAAGCAGCATCTGCATAATTTCTGTTGACCCCCCTATAGACGCGCTCGTAGTGAGTGTGATCCCCTTCATATAGGAATTAGAGACGTCTACATGCTGACACAAGAGCTCGATAACTGCTAGATGACCGCGCCCAGCTGCACGACTAAGGGCCTCGTGGAGGATCCATTGTCATTCTGTCCCGTCCCATACTATAGTCACCCAATTCGATTCCTCAAAGGTCATAGTATGCTGAGGCGCGTCTCGCTGCCATATATTCAAAGCATCATTGAGGAGATATTGAACGATTGATTCGTGCCCACTTTCTGATTTGTAGACAAGGGGTGTGGCGCTATGGACAACTGTCCACGGGTGTATGCCAGATCTGACGAGTAGTTTTGTAGCGTCCTCGTCCCCCCAAGCTGCTACATCGCGTAAGAGTGTACCGAGTAGGCCTTCGACGTAGATATCTGCTCCCTTCCTTACTAAAGCAGCGAGTGTGCATTTGCATTGCTTTGATTTAGTCGCTGCCCATTGGAGCACTGTTTGCTCCTTATATAGTATGCCTGGAGTGTATTGTAATGGTGGGTGCACCAGATGTGAGAATCTAGCCACCCAAGGAAGGGATGAATTTACTAAGACAACACACTGTCTTAGGAAAAAGAGCCAAAGGGTCATAGCTTAGACTATTCCACAACGCAGCAATAAAGTGTATGATGTAGTGAAGTGGTTTAGACAAGTTGTACAAATGTTGAGTCTGAGAACTCAGGGATAAGTCAGAGGTTAGCACCTCACTGACTTTTCAGAAACAAGGAGTAACAAGATCAATGCTTGGAAGCTTGGAAAAGACGTGGAAGTATGTGATAGTCGATTTACTGTATTGTCTGCTTGCTCTTTCTTAAGGAAAGGGCAATCCTATTTATGCTAAAGGAGTGTAGTTCTCTCATTTTCCAAGACTTTCCATGACTAACCACGCTTGGTAACTGTAGTCGACGTAAGAGAATCCCATAGAACCATCTCCTAGGTTCCTAGCCTATAGGAAGTGAAAGGAGGTCCAAGGTCAGAGTACCCCTATAGACAAATTATGTCATAACTTAACCAATCTTGTGGGTAACTAAGGAGCGATGACGTGTAATGAATCATAGATGGTTGTAGAAGCTTTGGGAGCTATCGTTCATGTTCCTAGGCCTCTAGTTGATAGAGATATGTCATGTGTAGTATTAGCCCAGTAACTAAGGATTGATGTCATGTAATGAATCATAGATGTCATACTGACATTCGTTGCACTCAGTTTGCTATCAAACTCAAGAGCAAACTTAGAAATCTCCTCCTCAAACCTACAAGTCACCATACATATCTTGGCTTATCACACCAACAACAGAAGCAATACTACTCAACGATTGCTGCAAACTCTTCTACTACATCTGTTTATGCTACATACATCACGGCATATCATAACTAACCCTAAGGTTTTTGAAATTTTCAGGACAATTCAGTTCTGCCACTTCAAACCTAGGGTGATAACCATAGTTTGCATAGAAAGGCGTCTCTTTTGTGGTGTTAGAGATTGTGTTGTTGTAAGCAAATTCTGCAAGATGGAGAAGATCTGCCCAGTTGTCTTGGGCATAGTTTGTATAAATTCTTAGATATTGTTCAAGTACAGAGTTGACTCTCTCTGTCTGGCCATCTGTTTGAGGGTGATAAGCTGTAGAAAAGCATTGTTCCATGTTTAAGAGTTTAGAGAACTCCTTAAAAAAGTTTGAAGTGAAAACTGCTCCCCTATCTGAGATCCAGTGTCCAGGAATTCCATGATATTTAAAGACCACCTTGAGGAATAGCCACGCAAGTTCAGAAGCTGTGATAGTCTCATTGCAAGGCTCAAAGTGTGCCATTTTTGTGAGCCTTTCTACCACCACAAGGATAGAGTCATAAGGGGTAGCACCCCCTTTTGGGATAGAAGGAGGCAACTTGACTATAAAGTCAATGGATATGGAGTCCCATGGGCGTTCTGGTATAGGTAGAGGCTGCAAGAGGCCATAGGGCTTTTGCCGTGTAGGTTTGTTCAAGTTGCAAGTAGTGCAAGAAGATATATAGTCTTGAAGAGTAGTCCTTAGACTAGGCCAGTAGAACTTTCTTGTTAGAAGTTCATAAGTTTTTGCAAAGCCAAAGTGCCCTGCAGCTGGAGCATCATGGAACTGCTGTAGGAGGTGTAGCTGTAATCGTTTATCCCTTGGGACATAGATATAGTTCTTGAATAAGAGAAGTCCATGCTGATTTTTTGAGAAATTCTGTAGTCCAACTTTCTCAAGAGAGGAACCTTTCTTCTGGAGGTATTCCAAAGTTCTTTTGGCAAAGGTATCGTGGTTGTAAGCATCTTTGAATGCTTTAAGAAGTGTTGCTGAGGGTGTATAGTCTTTAAAGCTCTCTGGTTTCTGAGAAGAGGTAATGGGTGTAATGGTGGGTAGACTGGCCACGGTCCGGTCCGGTCCGGTCTTTTAATGTTGAGTGAGGACTGTTTTACGGTCCAGTCTTTTTTTTTAGGACTGGACCGTGAGACAAAAAGACCGGACTGATAACATTCTAGTCTTTTTTTTAGAGTGTAGACTGTTTGCTAAAGTTGAGGTCCCTTTAAAAGACCGGACTGATAATAGTCCAGTCTTTTTTTAGAGTGTGGACTGTTTGCGAAAATTGAGGACTGTTTAAAAGACTAGACCGTTCGGTCTTTCCTAAGAACAGTCCGGTCCAGTCCAGTCTTTTACATTATAAGTGGGGGCCACCACATGTCATCACATGATATGTTATTAGGAATAGCTTTAAGTGCAATCGAATATAATAACGTTACTGTACATGCATTTTGAGGTATAAGTTGAAAATAGTATAACTATAATAGTTCCATTTACACACTGTTAAATAATTACACGTGATTATAATTACACGTGATTATATTTACACGTGATTATATTTACACGTGATATTATATTTACAAGTGATATCATATTATTCAATCAAAATCGATCATAGAGTAGTCAATTAGTTATGACTTATATTTGATATGAGTTTAATTAAGCATTAATAGCAGCTACTAATGTTACTATTAATTATTACTATAGTTTGATAAATATTATATGGTTAACGTGCATGTATAACGAAAGTGCCAAACAAGCGAAAGTGCCAAAATATCGCGACTACCCCATAAGAATTGCGATAAATCCACCACAACAATATAAATTAATTAAAACTACTCGGAGTCCTCTTCCTCAGACCTGTCTATTACAATCTGACAAGTGCGCGCATTGTGTCCAGTCTCACCACACTTGCCACAGCGACGTGCATGGGTTTCTTCCCTTGGCTTCCGACCACTACTTGCCCTTATTTCTTGCTCTACTTGCTGCACAACGTCCCTCTCGTCCTGTAGCTCCTGTGCTACCTGTTGACTAAGTGATCCTCCTTGCTGTAGTCGTGTTTTTTTAGCTCTCCGGCGCTTGCTTAGCACTTCATTTGCCTGTCGCAGGTTTTGGTTCTCTGCTTTTAACAATGCTAATTGATGCATTATTTGCGATGCACCCTTTGTAAACTGGTCAACAGCTGCATAGATTGAGGTTGGAGAGCTATTTTGATGATGCGCAATTCAGTTTTTAATGAAAGTAGACTGTGATACAGCTTCAGTTGGGTTATTTGGTGTCTGAGAAACCCATGGTTGAGCGGTGTTTGGGTGAGAGGTTGGAGGTGTTGGCGTCTTAAACCTAAGGTCAAGTGTAGATATTACACTCTCAGGGCTAAATGGAAGAAGCCCAGCACCTCGGAACCCTCCCTGAATATTGCTTTCTGTCATTGCAATGTTAAATGCAGCGTGGAAGGCAGGAAAGAAGTCATCCTTAGTAATGTGAATAATATGAGAACTAACGCCTTGGATTACTGTAACCCATTCCCGATTGCCAGGCTGCACCTTTTTTGCCTTTGCCCGCCCATCTGAGCTCGTTACTACCGTTGCGCTTGAGATGACGCCCATCATAAACCCAGTCTCATCAAAGTTGTAGATATCTGCATTGTTGATGCCATACTTTAGAATTGTGTTCCATACAAGCTCAAACCAGCCACGAATGACTTCTGGATCTTCGCACTTAGCCCTCTGGTAGTCGTATTTTCGCTGGAAGCGTGTCCGGAGCTCTACATGGCGCTTAACAAAGTTTGAAGCCCAACGTGACCCGACGTGTGGCGCGTCGCGTGTTGCAAGTAGTCGATTTGCCATATCTTCAACAATAGACAACTGAGGAGGGAACCCTTTAGCAGCTAAGTCAAGTATATACTGAACAAGAACTGATTCCTCTAGGTTACTTAATTTCCGTAAGTTGGCTTGGATATCGCGTCGTGAAGGTACGCCTTGTAAACGGTGACATAGCTTGCGGTGGTCTACGGAATAGATCCTAGCTGCAACTCGAAGGTACAAATTTGGGTCGCTTTGCATAGCTTGGATAGCTAGCACTAATTTGCTTTCATCATTTTTATGGCGCATGTTTTGTTGTGGAGGAATTTAACATTTAGTTGGGGGGGTTGGTCACCGCATGATTTTGGCACTTTCGCTTGTTTGGCACTTTCGTTATACATGCACGTTACGTTAATTTAATAGTTATTAATTAATATAGTTAACATTTGCATAACGTACATGTATAGCGAAAGCGCCAAACAAGCGAAAGCGCCAAAATTATCTACCCTCACGACAAACATTGCGATAAATCTACCACAACATTAGAAATCAATTGAAACTACTCGGAGTCCTCTTCCTCAGAGGTGTCTATTACAATCTGACACGTGCGCGCATTGTGCCCAGTCTCACCACACTTGCCACAGCGACGGGCACGGGTTTCTTCCCTTGGCTTCCGACCACGGCTTGCCCTTATTTCCTGCTCTACCTGCTGCACAACATCCCTCTCATCCTGTAGCTCTTGCGCCCCTTGTTGACTAAGTGATCCTCCTTGCTGTAGTCGTGTTTTCCTAGCTCTCCGGCGCTTGCTTAGTACTTCATTTGCCTGTCGTAGGTTTTGGTTCTCTCCCTTTAGCAGTGCTAATTGATGCATTATTTGCGATGCACCCTTTGTAAACTGGTCAACAGCTGCATAGATTGAGGTTGGAGAGCTATTTTGATGGCGTGAAATCCGAGTTTTAATAAATGTAGACTGTGACATAGCTTCAATTGGGTTGTTTGGTGTCTGAGAAACCCAAGGTTGAGCAGTACCTGGGCGGGAGCTTGGAGGCGTTGGTGTCCTTAACTTAAGATCAAGTGTAGATATCACTCTCTCAGGGTCAAATGGAAGAAGCCCTGCCCCTCGGAACCCGCCTCGAATGTTACTTTCCGTCATTGTAGTGTTAAATGCAGCGTGGAAGGCAGGAAAGAAGTCATCCTTTGTAATATGAGAAATATGAGCCTGCATCATATCTTCAATTTGCCGACCATAGGCCTGCTTTAACGGGCCGAAACAGCCAACATCAAGTGGCTGGAGTAGATGAGAAGAGTGAGCAGGCATACAAAGCGTAATAATGTTGTGTTCCTTGCAGTACTCCTCAAACTCATCTGAGTGGTGGCTCTCATGACCATCAAGGACTAACAAGCGATAACCACCAACACTCTGGGCCTTTGTATGCTTCTCAAAGTGCTGACGCGTCTTCGTCTTTACTGTGGCCACTCGCTTGTGGTGGCCACTCGCTTGTGAAATACGTTATTTGATATAAAAATTATGTTCATTACCGTGAGTATCTAACCCACTCGTCTGCCAACCTTTTGCAAAATATACGGTACAAAGAAAGCCTAATTATAACAATCTGCTTAAGATATCGCACTCGCTTGCGCTTGCTCGGGGTATCTCTTTCTGTTCTCTACACTATGACAAAGGAAAAAGTTTTGATAGATATTAAGGCGGGGCTATCACCTCCCTAGATTCGCTCCAAACATTGTCTCATCGACGGTACTCTCATCATCATCATAAAATCCGGCGTCACTGTAATCCTCTGCCCGTGCATCAGCGTCGTAGTTGCTTTTGTGCATCATCGGGGGAGTCGCTGGCGGCCCATCGGCGCTGGCGGCACGCGCCTTTCCCTTGGCAAGCTCCTTCCTCGGACTTGCCCGTTCTCTTGCCATTTGAGTAGCAGCGAGCCTGCGGCCTGTGTTCTGGAACGCACTAGGCTGGGCCTGTGGTGGGGGCGCAGTTTGGCGTACTGTTGTGGCTGGCGGGGTCATCAAGCCGGAGAGAAAGCTCTGAGCACCCGACGCTACTGTTGCTGCTGGGCTAGCTCTGGCTGGCTGGAGACCTTCGCGAGTCTTGCGCCAGCTACCCCACGCAGCTGCCATCGGTCCGACGACCTGCGCAACGCGAGGCGATGCTGCCTCGCGGATGCTGGCAGTTATGTTTGGCAAGTTGATGGCCGAGCCGCCGCTGATCGCCCGCTCGCGCTCTTGCTCCTCCATTTGGAGATTTGCCTGAAGGCGAATGGCGGCTGCCCTGACGGTTTCCGGGTTGAATCCCGCCTCGCCGATGGTGTTGATGATATCCCGAAGATCACCAACACGTACAGCAAGAAGCTCACGGAGCCATATGATCTCATCGTCGCGCTTTGCTATTTTGGTTGGCGCATCGAGATCGACACCGGCGAGCTGGTGCTCAAGCGACTCGATTGTCTGTTCGCGGTTCTGGAGCTGCTCTTGGAGGACCATGATGGACTCGCGGAGAGCTTGTGGGGACACCTTCTCGGGAAGCTTCATTGACAGGGCAGGTGTTTGGGTAGAGTCCTTGACGGTTCGGGCGGCTTGTGCGGCAGCAAGAGCGGCCGCTTTGGTAACCTCAAGCTTCTCTTCAACATGAGCAACTCGGTCTTGAAGGTGCTCTGTCTTGGCAGATGACAGGCTCAGCCTCTCAAGAAGATGCTGCTCAGATCGTTGTGCGTCTTCGATGGTATTGCTGAGCTGGCGCTCATGTTGGGTTTGAATATCCTCCATCTGGTCTTGGTGGCGGCGAATGAGTTCATTCAGTTCCTTGGCCTTGGACTCTGTTGCCTCCTCTAGCAGCATGTCATGCCTCTCTCGGGCAGTATCCGCATCAAGCTTGACGTGGTCCAAGTCTGCTCTGACTCTCGCAAGTTGGTCCTCGAGGTCTTGTCTGACGATATTGACTTGGTTGTTGGCCGATTCAATTTCGGCCTGCATATAATTCCTGGTTCGCTTGACTTCGCTCAAGCCGGACTCGCGAGCCTCTTCAAACTCGCGTTTGTGGCGCAGGACGTTCTTCTCGGCTGCATTGAGCTCATTCTCAAGATTAACTACGAGAATATCCAGCTTCTTTGAGTCATTAACGGCGCGAATGCCTTCGCGTTCACCAGCTTCAAGCCTCTCAATCTCCTTCTCAAGGCGCTCTCTGGTACGCGCCTCAGCTTGCAGCCTGGCGTCAAGGACTTCCTGTCGCGCAATAAGAGCTTGCTCCTTCTTTGCGCGTTGGGCGTTCTCCTGTGACACTTCCTGGGCTGCCCTGGCCATATCATCTTGCAGGTTGCCCAGCTTGTTGCGGAAGTTATCCCGGACGCGGAGGCTCTCCTGAATTTGAAGCTTGAGGCTCTCGACTGCACGTCTGAGGGCAGTTGACTCTGCAGTCGCTTTCTCGGCATCGTCCTTGCTCGTGTTGGCCATCTCAGTGGCCTTTTGGGTCTCAAATTCCCATTGACGGCCTTGCTGGCGAGCATCTGCAATGTCTTTCTCCAACACGGCGATTCTGTTGGTGAGGTCGGAGTGATTTTTCTGCGAGTTTTGTGAGCTGGCCTCGAGCAGATTCGACCTCATTGCATTCTTGGCTCTCGTGTCCTCCAAAGTCTTGACCTTCTTATCGCGCTCCGCAAGCGACTCTCGGAGTCGCACCTCTTCCCCAGAAGAGATTCGGAGAAGCCTTTGAACCTCAGACAGACGATCCTCGGCAGTGCGGCGGTTCATGACCTCCAGCTCCATCTTCTCGTCGGCGGATGTAATCTTGGCCGTCATTTCAGAAACCTTTGCTGCTAGCTCGGCGATCTTGGCTTGCGCAGCATCGTCGACGACTGGGTCAACCGGCATCCGGCTCTCAATGGAACTTTCGACAATATTGCGGAAGTCGACATCAGTATGCTTGGGTTGGCTAAACTGGCCTTGAAGCTCCTTGAGGGCCTGTAGGACTTCAGAGTGTCCCTGAACGTTCTCGACGGGCTGGCTCGTAGCACGCTGCACCGAGTGGTGCTCTGCAAATGCTTCAGCGATCATGCTTCGCATCTTGTCAAGCTTCCGATCCTTCCTGGGACTGAGTGATCGGCGATGACCCTCGTCGTCGTCTTCATCATCGGCATCGCTTTCCTGGAATTCGGCAGACATACTGCGGCGGGCTCCGCGGCTCGAAGGTGGCCGTAAGGTTGCAAGTGACAGCTGAATGACCTGCAACGCTTGCTGCATGGGCCCTAGCTTTTCGGCCAGTATGCCGCCGACGATATCATTGACATGGCTGTCAAAGAATTGAGATCGAGCGTTGAATTTAGACTCGTCGTCGCGATCCAAAACGCTGTCCCAGTCGCTTGGCTCAACGCTCTCATCACCATTGAGGTGGTGAACAGGAGAGGTCTCGAATGCCCTGGCAATTGGCGAGTGGGACACGAATGGGTCGTCTTCAACCCTCGAGAAGACTCGTTGTCCACGGCCTCCAGGTAGAGCCTGAAAGCGTCGCGGGCTAGGACTCGGAGCATCGCTGCGCATCAGGTTTTGTGGATGAAGGCGAATAGGAGACGACTCGCTGTGCGGCATCTGCAGTGTTTGCTCCGAGCTGACGGGCCGCTGCGAAGACTCCGTTACGTGTCGGACAGCACCCATGGACGAGTCGGCCTCGTTGATGTGGCGCATGATATCATCTATCTCCTCGAATGAAGCCTCCCGAGGCGGGGTACCAATGTAAGAAGCGCCGTCGTAAGCTGCTGGGCTTTGTGGTGCGGTTTCTTCCGACGTTGGTATTTCAGGATCGCTGGCATCGACCTCTGCGGCGACCTCACTTCGTTGTGGTGGTGGCGAGAGGGTTGGGTCCGCGTATCTTGAGCTTGCAAGCCCCTTGCGGGGTCCACGAGTGACTTTTGCGGGCTCGGGGGCAACATATGTGAATGGATTGGTAGGAGCTGACGCCTCAGGCTCAGTCGGTTCAGTTCCGAACCAGTTTGTCCCGAATTGAAATGGTTTTGCAAGTGCAGACAGCGAGTTTTTTTTATGCCTCTTGTGGTCATTGCTTTCAGCCGATGGCGCGGGTGCAGCAGGCTCCTCTTCTGGGACGTTTTGGTCGAAGACCTTGAATGGGGCGCTGCCGATAGAGTGAGGGTTGGACCTGCTGAAGTCGACGGCATCCTCCTGTTGCTGCCATTTGTATGGAGCCCAGGCCTTGCCTTCATAGTCCGGTGAGTCTTCGAATCGACTGCGGGTTTGATTCTGCAGAGCACGCTCCGGTACTGGTACAATGCGAAGGGGCTTTTGCTCCTGGTCCATTGGCGAGGCGTTCTCTTTGTCAATTGGTTTGGCTGTTACTGGAGTTGCATCCTTTGGTGGGGACTGCTCTTGGGTGGTCTCTTGGAGTGGCATGGCAGGCTGCGCAAATAGTGGAACTGGATCACCATCGCCTACATCTGCCGTCGACCTCTTGAATCGGCCGTCTCCCTGCGTGATGTGACCGTCCTCGTCTCCACTCTTGCCAGACGAAGTGTCTGGCCGAATGATTGGGATGGCCCTGGACTTTTTGGGCTGCTTGATTATGTCGGACAGGGTCATGCTGATGTTGCCAAAGATGGACGATCTAAGGTTTGCAGGCGTTTCAGCAGAGCTGCCAGCCGAATCAGGCATGTACGAAGCCAGCGGAGTGAACTCGGGTGCGTCAGGTCTAAACATGGGTCCCGACGAGGAGAAGCTGAACTCGCTTTGGCCCGGCGTGAATAGAGCAGCATTGACGTTGATCTTTCTACTACCAAATGTGACTGGAGGTGACGCTGGACTGGGACTGATCGGCTGGAATGTGGTATTAAAGGCTGACACTTTCGGCTGCGGGGCGGCAAAGATGGCTTTGCTAGGCGTGAACGTGCTAGCGGTATTAAACTTGAACTCTGACGACGCAGCTGGGTTGAATTTGAACTCAGAGGCAGATGCGGGGTTGAACTTGAACTCTGGCGCCGCCACGTTCAGCTTAGATGTTGAAGCCTTGGACACGTGTCCGCGACTGGCCTTTTCAGCACCTGAGGTTGGCTCAGAGTCTACCCATGGGTTGGTGGCAATGGACTGAGATCTTTGGTGGATGGTGCTGTTGGCCAATTTGGGGGTGCCTAGCGCACTTGGATTGGTGGAGCCCTCAGACGTGTCCTGTTTGGCAGGCTCAGAGGCGAGTATGGGGCTGGCACTTTCTCCATCGTATGGACGCTGAGAAAGGGAATGGCCTCGGCTATGGGGTTGCGGGTGGTATAAAACCGGCCCGTCTTCGTCAGCATATTTGGAGGCACTCAAGCCTGCTAAGGCCGGTTTGGGTTTCTCCTGCTGCTGCTCCTCTTGTGGAGGCGATACAGGGGCTCGCTCCGAGTGAGCACTGTAGTCATCGTGATCCAATTGACGTTCAAATTGTTCCTCCAAATGATACTCTGCATCTTCAATTTCCTTTTGTAGACTGTCACTCAGGTTGAGGCGATGAGCAGGCTGACTGGCTTCGGGAGTCTTCGAAGCGCTCTTCTCGCTATCCGCCTGAAACTCTTGTAGTCGTGGGGACTGTCTTGAAACGGACTGCTGGACTTGATGGAACGACATTTGGTTGGAGAACTGTCGCTGGGCTTGAGCGACGATTGGGGCGGCCTCGTTCGGGAAATACCCGTCCTGTGGCAAAGGCAAACCCAAGGAAGGAAATCCACCAAAATTATGCACAGATGGAGAACCACCACGATGCATGCATTGATATAGCATCTGTTGAGGAGATGATGGGACAGGGGACTGCTGTTGTGAGCCACCGTAGGGCGACCCGAATGGGTGTTCCCCGCCAGAGAATGAAATCGATTGGTGTGGGTTGTGAAACTTCCCCAGTATATGGCCGTGTGATGATGTTGACGCGGTGGATCCCACAAATGAGCTCTGTCCCGTTGCAGGACCAGCGCCAGGAAGCAATGGCGGCGAAAAGAGCTTGGACGGCTGCGTACCATGGCTGCTGGCAGCAGATGATGGTGGGAGCGGAGGCTGGAAGGGTAATCCATACTGCGCCGAAGCTTGACGGCTCAGCGTCGGAGCGGGTGAAGGTGTCGGGATAGGATCTTCATCACCAAGTGATACTCCAAGAGCTCGTAACTTGGCCTCTTTCAGCTCGTCCACATATGCATCCCAGTGTCGTCTGTCAGGAATGCTGATTCTGAAATCACGGGCGTCCCGTTCAAGACGAATCTCAGTTGCATCTGGCCATATGCCTCGGCTTTGCCCTTGGGACACTGCTTCATGCGGCGCACCGTTGGCGTCGAGGTTGAAGCCCATGACATTGTAGCGGAGCTGCTCCCAGTCGCGCAGCATCGAGATGACATCCTTTTCAGTTAATGGTTTAGGGCCCTTGCCTTCTTTCCCGCGATCCTCGTCTAATGGCAGGAGAATGGATATGTTCTTCTTTCCCCAAGGCACTTTGGTCTTCAACCTTGGCTCAGGGTTTGGGGATGGGATTAGTTTTGGTGCAAGGTCTTCAAGAGCCACGTCGCTCGCCATAGGCAGCGCCGCTGCACGCCAATTCGAGGCGCTATCCGCCGGAGGGGTCGGAAGCGGCTTGTCTACAGTTGGTGGCGGGGTGTCGTGCGAGGCAGCAAAGACACCGTCTTGTGCGACAAGGCCAGCCACAGACTGCTCGGCCGTCTCATAACTCGCCGAGGAAGTCATACTGGTAGGCGCTTTGTATCTGGAAATGTCCCTTGGTCGGATAGTCTCCGCGCTAGGGCCTCTGAGATAGCGTCGGCTTTCGTGCTTGCTATAGCGTCGCTCAAGAAAGCTTTTTAGTGTTGGCGTCTTTTGTCCAAATTCGTATTCCTCAAGCTGATCTTCGGCCTCAGAGCTACTCAGTGAAGAGTACCCTTTCTCTTCGGATTTATTGCTGTCACTGAGCCACGCTAATCGCTCAATCTCTGTATCTTCTGCTGCGGTATGCTGTCTGATCCAATCTTCAGTCAAGCCTCGAGTCGGTCTGCGAGCTCGATTAAATAATACGCTGGCGCTCACAGGAGCAGCGAGAGGTTCTGTAGCGGAACGGAGAAAGCTAGGCGGGGGTCGAAGGTGCAGAGAGTGGAAGTCTAATCTCCTGAGAGGCGAGTCTTCGGAAGTATCACTGCTCAAAGTCCCACGATGCGGGCGAGCGGGGACTGGGTCTGCCGGTTCCTGGTATGGAGAGCCCCAGCTCGTAAAGTAGCGGCTGGATTCCGTACGGGACTCGGAAGGCGGAGTGCGGGAGAGGTTGAGGCTGCGACCGTTGATGGTCGGCTGTGGCAGGGGCGGAAGAATAGGAGAGGAGCCTCCTTCCGCCGTCGAGCTCGAAGAGAATGCGGGCGAACCAGGCACAAAGTCGTCGGATTCGGGCGTCGCGGGTATGAAGTCTATCGAAGTAACGGGAGCCGCGCGCGACGAAGACGGTGACGACGAGAGCGAAATATTTGCTAGATGGGAGAGGCGGTGTTAACCATCGAGCAACCACGGTTTTTCGACGGATCGGAGGAGCACACCTGGCGTTGTGAGACGAGCGCAAACGATATCGAAGTCGTCTGCAGCTTCGTCTTCTCTGGCAAACGTCTAGTCGACTGCTGGAGTCTGGAAGGAGGATCTACAATATCCTGACGCGACGTGAGGAAATGTTGGCGAGCACAGATCTAAAGAAATGACATTGTTGATGGACGCGACACGGAAGGAGTACACATTCGCTCGAGTCGTAGGAGAAGGTGATGGCGTGCAAAGCAAGAGCTCGACTGCGAAGATGAAGGATATTGGGGAGAGATGACAATGATGGCGACTTGATGATGGTGAGGATGAGGATGGTATTCTATCTCTTTCAAGATTTTTCTTGGAGAGGTTACCGGATTGAGCGTCGAATGTGCCTTGGGGAAGTTCAGGGGTACACTGGGGATTCTGCGGATTTTGCGCTCCGTAATTGGTCACGGGTCGTGCCACAACCGTGACCTTGACATGTGTGGCTGGAACTTTGATACGCTGTAAGTTACGGAGTGTCTCTCTCGAAACTTGTGGTATGCTGACGGAGATCGGTTGGCCACACCACTGAGGCCACGCCGCGTTGATGTCATGACACTTACATACTGTGGGGCGATGCGCATGAGTCCACGCTATTTCGTTCGCTCCAGAGAGAGCAACTAAAGCGATTGATTTCACTGGACTTCAAACATTTTATTCTTTGGATTTTGTGAGGTCGTCAAAGCTCTTTCAGCCTGAAGGCATTCATAGTCCCAAGGCATTGCAACCTAACCGCCTGACTACAGTGTTTTCGGTCAGCGTCGGATTGCCGAGCAAATCACATGTCAAGCCCTTACCACTTGTGCCCCGCAGACGACGAGTTTATTTCCTCAAATAAATCATCATTTCGCATATTGAGCGCGACAAAATCTATCAGGGTGCAGGCCGCTACTCATATCGCCCTTCTTCGCCTATACACCACCACAACATACCGCTTATTGACAAAGCTTTGGAGCAACCGCATCAGAGGCAATATCAGAGCCAGCAAGGCGGTCCGTTATATCTTCGACCTCTCCTCTAGCAGACCAGTAGTATCTGGCTTGTATATAGCAGTTTTAAACGAAACAAGACGGACTCACGATCTCCCATTCATCTTCAGGCACACCTGAGGGAGCTGGGCAACACAATATCACACAGCCGTTCATCATGTGCGCAAAGGTTCGTCAGAACTCGTCTCAGGTGCATATCAAAAGCTAATATTGTCATATCTAGCATGGAGAGAAAGCAGTTCAAGGAGTATTGGGGTATTTGCCCAATTTTTTTTTGAGGAAGCAGAAGAGACGAGATGGTTGACGGGTAACGGCGAGGAGATCATGATCTACGATCCAGCAAATGTGGCGGATACTACGAAGAGATACACAACGGCTGACGCCCTCGAAATCCCCAAAGGTTTCGTTGTCGAAGTTATTTGGGCATGGGTGAAGATGGAGAAGACCAAGTAGGCTCCACCATCAATGCCGCGTTTCCTCGATGTCCGTCTCTACGGCCAAGCCATATCGTGATGGAAATATCTTCGTTCGGGTCCCGGGGTATCATTGTAATCCAGCAATTTGTTGTTGATTCTCCTAACCCCCTTTCTTTTCTCCATTGATGGCTGCTCTGAATTGTATTTAAAAGAAGCTCGCCGAAGAATGATACTTGACTAATCGGCCCGTTCGAGTACATCCGCTCGATTTCTATCGTGATTATAATTAGCAGTAGATTTTATAATGAAATTGAGGTTTCACTTACGCCTGCCCCCATCATCCTGTGCCGATACCCCCCGCTTGTCCTATCTCATCCATACGCACTTCGTTTCCAGCCGATTCCGCCGCTGTCGAATCCACTGTCTTGCCGAATGGTTCCTGCTCCCGAAATCCTGTTCCCCGTCAGTGCCAATTAGAGCGTTTTAGCAGTCTCCGACAGGCTCTGGCTTTACATTGCCTGATCAGGCCAATTAGAGCGTTTTAGCAGGTCTGGATGGAGTCTCTTGAGTGGTAGCAGGGTTTGAAGTTGTTGTTTTTGGCGGTCATCTTCTTCGTTCCATTCTGGTCTATCTCCTGGTCTTCGAGTTAATGCATCTGCTTTTCCGTTCTGTTTCCCAGGTCGATATATAATTTGAAAGTTAAACCTTGACAGAAACTCAGCCCATCGAGCTTGCCTTCGAGTAAGCTTCTTTGTTGTCATGAAGTATTCAAGACTCTTGTGATCTGACAAAACTTGGACTGGCATTGCTGTGCCCTCAACTTCTGGTCTCCATGCTTCGAAGCATCTGTGTAACGCTGACTTCTAAACGATAGAAGACACAGAGGTTCTCTTGCGTAAAGGTTTACTTATCAGAGGAGGCAGGGGATCAGACACAAAGGCTTCAAGTAACACGTTACTAGTATATAACAAATACTGTATTGAGTTGAGCACGAAGCTCCTATCTAAGGAAATACTATCTACTTATATAGTGGCGTCGTGCCTAGTGGACTCTTGGGAACTCACTCGAGTCCTCGGAGTCCTGGACTCTTAGGATTCTTCTCATCATCCTGCGAGTCCGTCACGTGCCTAGTGGACTCCTGGGAACTCACTCGAGTCCTCGGAGTCCTGGACTCTTAGGACTCTTCTCATCATCCTGCGAGTCCGTCACGTGATACTTTCGGAACTACTATTCCCCGCTGCCCCTCCAGGTACCAGGGCTGGTCTCATGCGACCTCCCTCCTTCCTGTCCTGTAGTTGGCCAGCCTTCTTGTTCCGTCGTAACAATTTAGTTTGCGATAGTCTACGCAAAATCGAAGTCCACCTCCTGGTTTGCATACAAATAACACAGGTGAGGCAAATGGTGCTTTGCTAGCTTCGATGAATCCTTTGGTAAGATTGTCCTCCACGTATTTCTTCACAAGATCAAGCTCTTCCCAAGACATGTTATAGAGTGGTGCATGCCCTAGTTTTGAGTTCCCTTCTAACACAATGTAATGGTCTGCATATCTGTGAGGCAGGAGCTTGTCTGCAGCCTGTTTTGAGAACACATCAAGATATTTATGGAACTCCTTTGGGAGGATCAGTTTTGGGTCGATTTCTTTCGTTTCCTCCTTTGCTTGTTCAGCGAGTATATCTTTAAATGATACTGCAAAAACCTTAGCTCCTTTCTGCTTCCGAAGCATATTGAATGGTGCAGCTCCAATCATTGTAACAGTGCATTTGTTCTTGTTCTTATAATGAGGTTGGAGGGCTGGCTTCGGAGCTTCTTTATCTTGTATTTGCTTCTCAGCTTGGGGACTTGTAGTTTTCACTTTTAAAGTGTCTGTTGGTGTAGTGTGCTGGCAGTGACCTGTTACGACGGAACAAGAAGGCTGGCCAACTACAGGACAGGAAGGAGGGAGGTCGCATGAGACCGGCCCTGGTACCTGGAGGGGCAGCGGGGAATAGTAGTTCCGAAAGTATCACGTGACGGACTCGCAGGATGATGAGAAGAGTCCTAAGAGTCCAGGACTCCGAGGACTCGAGTGAGTTCCCAGGAGTCCACTAGGCACGTGATGGACTCGCAGGATGATGAGAAGAGTCCTAAGAGTCCAGGACTCCGAGGACTCGAGTGAGTTCCCAAGAGTCCACTAGGCACGACGCCACTATATAAGTAGATAGTATTTCCTTAGATAGGAGCTTCGTGCTCAACTCAATACAGTATTTGTTATATACTAGTAACGTGTTACTTGAAGCCTTTGTGTCTGATCCCCTGCCTCCTCTGATAAGTAAACCTTTACGCAAGAGAACCTCTGTGTCTTCTATCGTTTAGAAGTCAGCGTTACAGTCATCACCACAGATCTCGCCTGGACCAACCTCATCACGCCACCCAACCCCAGGGTCACCACCACACTGGAGGAGGGCCTCGAGCTCAGCAAGCACCTCACGCTGCTCCAGGGCATCCCTAAGGATGGTGGGAAGGATGGCCTCGACGTCTAGCCTGTCACCGTCTTCCACTCTGCAGACGAGGACCCAGAGCAGCTCCTCGTCTACATGAGGGGGGGGCTGAGCCTCCCAGACAGGAACAAGGACCTCTGCCGCCTCATGGTTGATGCCATTGAGAAGTACACGACACTCGCGCTACCCCCAAAGCCCAGCAGTGACGAGAGGCACGAGATGGAGCAGGCTAGGAAGGCTGAGCACGAGGGGAAGAAGTGGGGAGTCTACCACCTTGGGCTGTGGCATGCCACAGGACAGCCACACACGCCTCCCACCCTCTGCTCAGACATGCGCAGGACTGGAGCGGGCTTCGGGGCCACGCTGGCCCTCTACAAGACCATGGCCCCCCTCGCGCAGACCATAGGCAGGCTCTTCCAGGAGATCGATCCCAGGGCCTACCAGCAGTACAGGCAGAACTACCTTGGCGAGTGTGCAGCCACGCCTGAGCTGGAGGTCTTCAAGTTCAGCAACAGGAGCTGCTGGCACTGCCTCGCGATCCTGATAAACGCCCAGGTTGGGCCTCACAAGGACAACCATGATGTGCTCGATGGCTGGGTCGCGATGGCCTGCTTTGCAGAGTTTGAGGGAGGGGAGCTGTGCCTGCCAGCCCTTGGCTATAGGATTCCCTTCCAGCCAGGGGATGTTGTCCTGTTCCGCTCTGCAGTCCTCGAGCACTGGATCGCGCCCTTCGAGGGCACGCGGTACTCGTGCGTCTTCTTCACGAAGCAGAGCAACTGGCAGCCAGGTGAGGAGGAGTAGAGGGCTTGTCTCCTGGTCCATTTCCGGACTCACGTTCTTGCAGGGATGGTAGGTTGACGGTCTCGCAATCGAGTGGAACGTTCGCTGACGTTTCCTGTGCAGCTTTGCAAGGGGAACAAATTGACGTACTCCGATTGTTGATCGGACTTTAGATGGTGGAGATATTCCGGTTTTGGTCGGGCGATGCATGGGAGGGGTGATTGGGGGAGCATGTTATAGGATGGATTGTAATATCCTGACGCGGCATGCAGATGGTGCGTTCGATAGCGTTAATAAAAGTGATTTGCAAGACGAATCAAATGGCGTACTCCGATTTGTGATACGAGTTGAGACGGGTGAGATATTGCAGATTTCGCTGGGGGGACAGTAGGGGTGGTGGAGCACCTACTCTGAGGGATTATAACCTTTGCAGCTACGGCGGAAACTTAACGTTCGATATCGTCATTGGAAGAGATTTGCAAGAGAAATCGAATGGCCTCTTACGATTTTTGATACGACTTGAAACGAGTGAGTTATTTCGGATTTGTTGGGCCGGGCCCAGGAAATGGGGCCCCATGGTAACATGTGAGAAGGATTCCAACTTTTGCAGCGACGTCTGAAACTTCACGTTCGGTATCGTCCATGGAAGATATTTACAAGGGGAATCGAATGGCGTATCCCAAGTTTTGATCCGAGTTCAACTGGTGAAGATATTCCGGATTTAGACGGGTGGCAGTGGGTAGGAAGGCCAAGGGGGGTGGTTACATATGAGACGTGGTATAACTTGTGCAGCAGTGCGCTGAACTTAACGTTCGATAGCGTTATTGAAAGAGGATTGCAAGGGGAACAAAATGGCGTACTCCTTTTTTTGATACGAGAAAAAATGGGTTAGTTATTTCGGATTTCGTCAGGTGCTTGGTGGCTGAGGGACTGGCTGAGTATAGTTTATGAAGGCTAATAACGCCTGCAGCGATAGATCAAATCTATCGTTCGATAGGGGAAATTGGACAACTTTGCAAGACGAACAAAATGGCATACTCCGATTGTTGATACGAGTTGAAACGAACAAGTTATGGCGGATCTTGTCAGGCGGTAAGTGGCAGGGGGGGGCTGAGCATAGTTTTCAGAGGCTAATAACTTTTACAACAACAGACGAAACCAAACATTCAGTATCGTTATTAAGGGAGATTTGCAAGCGGAATCGAATGGCGTCCTCCGATTTTTGATACGAGTTGAAATGATCGTGTTATAATGGATTTCGATGGGTGGCAAGAAGAAGAGGGCATAGAACGGGAAGTGGTATAAATGCAGAGCTGAGAGGCAAGATCAAACGTTCGATATTGTAATTGAAAGAAATTTACAAGGGGAACAAAATGGCGTCTTCCGATTTACGATGCGGTTTGAAACGATGGAGATATCCCAGATTCCGCCGGGTGGCAAGGGTGCAGTATGGGCATGGCACGTGAGTGGCGATAGCTTCTGCAGCGATGGGTAGAATATAAAGTTCGATATCGTCATTGAAGGAGAATTACGAGGGGAATCAAATGACGTCTTCCGATTTTTGATACGGCTTGAAATGGCCGAGGTATTCCAGATTCCGATGGGTGGCAAAGGGTGGTGGGGGGCTAGGTATGAGAAGAGTCACATGTTCTGCAGGAGCGGGCGGAATTTATCGTTCGACACCACCATTGACAGAGGTTTACAAGCGGAACAGAATGGCTACCTCCGATTTCTGATACGAGTTTAAGTGAGAGAGTTATTTCGGATTTGTCGAGTGGTAGGGGCAGGTGGAGCCTAGGCTGCGCACTACTCGCCCAATACTCGGCTCACTCACTCAGTGGGTTACTCAGCTGGGTGAGTAGCTGAACCTTTCACTCGACTCGGTGAGTGAGGCCAATACTCAGTTACTCTGTAAAAACCCTACCCCTAGAAGCGGCCGTATCTGTAGTGCAAATTGGGAATCCCCACGCGAGCGACCCCTGTCGCTCGCGCGCGCACGGGCCATTGTGGAGCGATTATTGTGCAGCAAATTGGGAGACCCCCGGGACGGCGCAGGCGCATCAAGCACGCATACAGAGCATGCAACGAAGGGCGAATAGCGCACACACACCGCTCGCGCAAGGGAAGGATGGCGGCCAGCTTCTCCTACCTCGCAACTCACGGGGTGCTGCTCTGCCGCGACTGCGGGACCTGCCTCATGCCCGCGCGCGCCAGCCAGGAGTGGCACCTGAGGCACCCACCCCACGACCTCAAGGGGCCGGAGCTGCGCACCCTGCTCGACCTCTTCGCGACGCATGAGCTGCGGCCCCCGGGACAGGTCGCCCTGCCAGACCAGCCCTGCATCGCCATCGAGGGACTGCGCCGCCATCCGGCATTCTCCTGCATCCTCTGCGACGACGGCCGGCCGACCCTGACCCTGTCCGGGCCGGCCATCAGGGCGCACGTGTCCCGGGAGCACGGGCAGAAGCCGTCGCAGCAGAGTGAGGGTGGCGCGTGGCAGAGATGCACGGTGCAGACCTTCTTCGCAAAGACCGAGCATGTCCGGTACTTTGTGGTTACAGACGACGACAGGGCGGAAGGGGACGCAGCTACTGCCGCCATCGCCCTCGAGCCGCAGGAGCAGGCCTTCTTCGACCTGGCCGACGCGGACGCGACCATGGTAGCGGACGACATCAAGACGGAGGGCAACAAGGTGCACGGCTTCGACAGCCACCCCTCGGCTGCGGTCCCGTGGCTGAGGCGGACTGGCATCGAGAACCACGTGCGGGGCCTAGAGAAGGACGAGATGCACGCCTCCTTTGCGCTGCCGAAGAGCGCAGATGAGGGAGAGCCCGAGCTGTTCCTGATGCTCGAGGTCATGGACGAGATCCTCGCTGAGGTGCACGGCTGGTGCTTCGACGGGCCGGACTGCATGCTGACGTGGCCGAGGCAGCTCGCGCTGAGCCGCTTCCATGGCGCCCCTACCTCATCGGCACCAGCCAGTTGCAGGGCAGGCAGGGTGCGCGGCTTCGACCCCAAGAAGGAGCCATCCACACTGCGCACAAACTTTGGGTACTGGAAGCAGTTCATGGCGTACTGCTACCGCGTCGCCTACTGCGGCAGCCACTTCACGCCACCTCTGAGCGCGGACCAGGGCAGGCGCCCCGAGGACCGGATCCGGCTGACGGACGAGCAGACGACAGCTTGGGAGGCCGCCCTGGAGTGCGCTGCCGACGGAGACCGCTTAGCGCTGAACGACGCCCTCCGATCCCTCTGCATGGCCCTCGTCTGCCACGAGTTCGGCGGCGACCGCTTCAGCTCGCCGCTCCTCAGCTTCTGCGCGATGCTGAGCGTCAAGCCACGCACCAAGTCGTGGAAGGAGCCGGGCAACTTCAACAGCTGCCTGTCCGGCCTGATCTGGGCTGTGCAGCTGCTCATCTTCAGCACGGCCGCATACCTCGAGAGGTCGGGCGCCGGCAGCACGCTCGAGCACATCAACAGCATCTGCGAGCAGTACCTGCGGCCGGGACACGGAGACGCCCATGGGCGAGATACTGGGCTGGCGCCTGCTGCTGTTCGCGGTGTCGAAGGACGGAGTGGGCTCGCACCAGGCGCACTGGGACGAGGACGAGCAGATCCTCACCTACAGGGACGTCGACCTGAACATGGACGAGGTGCAGCAGCTGCTGCTGTCGGAGTTCAGGCAGGCGCAGCATCTGCTGCACGGCGAGCTCATGTTTGGCGCAGCGGGCCTGCCACGGATGCGCGCATGGGCACTCAAGGACAACCTCGACGCCGACAACTTTAGCTGGCACTTTGGCGAGCACCGGGAGAACGCGGCACTGCTGAAGCCGCTCGCGGGCTCACTGCGCAATGTCATACGGGAGTCGCAGTCACTCCGAGCGTCATTCCTCGACACCACTGCTGCACCTACTGCTGAGGATGGAGAGGATGGAGAGGCTGATGCAGGGGTCACGAGGGTCATGTGGCGACAGAAGGCCATCGACCAGTACGAGGCCGTCGCTGACGAGTTCCTCAAGCGGCTCCTCGTCCTCATCCACATGGCCTCGGGCCAGCTGCTGCGCGAGAGCGAGCTGTTCTCCCTCACCTGGCGCAACACGCAGCGGAGGCGTAGCGTCTACCTCAAGCACGGGCTCGTGATGCTGCACACCACCTACCACAAGGGCCAGCAGCAGACGGGCAGGTTCAAGGACAACATCCGCTTCCTGCCAGCCGCCATCGGAGACCTCCTGCTGGACTACCTCGTCTACGTCGTGCCGCTCCGCCAGGCCTTCCTGCGCCAGACCTCCCCACGCGCAATCATGTCCGCGTACCTGTGGTGGAAGGACGGGGCCGTGTGGGCCGACAACCGGCTGACGCGGTGCATGGAGCAGGCGTGCGTGCGGGCCAAGGTGCCACGGCTGCACATCGCCAACTGGCGCCAGATGACGGTCAACATTGTGAAGACCAAGTTTGCGGGCGACCTTGCGTGCTTCGAGGGCATCGGGGCCGACGACGACGATGAGGATGCAGAGGAGATGGAGGATGACATCCGGACCATGACGAGGCAGCGGAACCACAGCACGCGGGTGGTGAACCGCAGCTACGCGAACCAGCTGAACGCGAACTTTGGGAATGTGTGGGATGGCCTCATCCGTCGGAACCTGCGCGCGTCATCCCTGTGGAGGGGGCTGTGGGATCTCGACACGGTGCTCGGGGATGCGGTCGCAGCAGCAGGGAAGAGGAAGCGCGAGGCGGCAGAGGTGGCAGGGTCCGACAGGCCGCGGATGCTGAAGAGGATTGCCGTGGGCGTGCACCGGCCGCGGAAGAGGTGGTCTGCTGCAGCCCTGCTGAAGTGCGCGAGGGGGCTCTACCACGACGACAAGCTGCAGTGGAAGTCGGCCGCACAGGAGCGGGCGATGACGGTCGTCATGTCATGGACGGAGCAGGTCGTCGTCATCCTGGGCACCGGCGAGGGGAAGAGCCTGCTGTTCATGCTGCCCTGTGTCCTGCCTGATGCGGGCGTGACGATCCTCGTGCTGCCGCTCGTGTCCCTGCGTGGCGACCTGCTGCGGCGTGTGCAGGAG